GCAGTGCGGCTGCCATGCACCCCCTCTGTGGCCTATGCAGCCACTAGTCCACTCTATGGGCTGGAGTGGCAGACACTGGTCTCCATGCACCCAATCTAGGGGGCACCTGGCCACTGCAACTGCTGCCTCCCCTTTTCCAAAGGCTTCTGCATCACACCCATCCCGTGGAGCCTTCCAGCTACAGAGCCTCCCACTGTGTTTGTCCAGGCTGGCATGACGCCACACATGACAAGTTTGCACCTTTAGCTGCCTTTTTTTTGGCACAGGTCCATCACTAGGTTACTCAGGACCTTGTCGCTATGTAACAGGGGCTCCTGGCCCTGGGGCCAACTCCTCATTGCCCTGCACCATGAGCTGCTGCTTACACCAGAGCCCTGTGCTGGCCAATGAACCAGAACGGCAGCGGTTCACACCCACTTTGCACAGGGCGCGGGACAGTGAGTATTTAAAACCCTTGCGCTTTGGAAAGTGCCGGGCAGAGAGAAAGAAATGGGCTGTGGAGCCTGATACGGTCACTGAGCCCAGGCAGGTGAGGGTGAGACAATGAGATGGTGATTGCAGGTGGCTAGCCCAGCCCGGCAGTAGAACACAATGGATCAGCGAGGCTCAAAGAATGCAGTTGGGTGGTTTGGCTGCCTCCTAACTTTCCGGCCCAGGGTATCCAGGCGCTGTGCAAACGTTTGTGGTTAGTGATTTAACATCACAGCCTCCCCCAGCCCCACCCACGGGACGGCTGTTAGTGCTGCTCATGCAAACACAGAGATTCAGAGATTCCAAAGCCAGAAGGGACCACTGTGATCATATCGTCTGACCCCCTGAATCCCACAGCCCAGAGACCGGCCCCAGAATCATTCCCAGAGCAGAGCTTGAAGGAAAACATCTAATCTGGATTTCAAAACTGTCAGTGACAGAGAATCCACCATGAGCCTGGGTCAACTGTTCCAGTGGTTAATTACTCTCACTGTTAAAAATATGCCTTATTTCCTGTCTGCCTTTGTCTAGCTTCAACTTCCAGCCATTGGGTCATGTTAGACCTCTCTCTGCTAGACTGAAGAGCCCATTATTAAATATGTGTTCTCCCTGCAGGTACTTATCAGTCACCCTTTAACCTTCTCTCTGTTAAGCTAAATACATTGTGCTCCTTAAGTCTGTTACTATTAGGGTATGTCACACCAGTGCCAAATACGGAGGTAAAATAACCTCTCTACTGCAACCTGAGTTTCCCCTGTTTGTGAATCCCAGGATCACATTAGCACTTTGGTCACTGTGTCACGCTGGAAGCTCATACTCAGCTGATTATCCACCACGACCCCCAAATCTTTTCAGTCACGGCTTCCCAGGCTAGAGTCCCATCTTGTAGGTATGGCCTATATTCTCTGTTCCTAGATGGATGCCTTTAGCCATATTAAAACACTTATTGTTTGCTTGGGCCCAGATTACCAGCCGATCCAGATCGCACTGAATCAGTGACCTGCCCTCTTCGTAGTTTACCACTCCCCCAATATTTGTGTCACCTGCAAACTTTATCAGTGATGATTTTATGAACACACCCGTTCAATGATGACTCCCCATTTGCAATCACATTTTGAGACCTGTCAAGCAGGCACTGCAAAAGACTTTGCTCTGATACTGAGCTAGTTCCAATACTGATCATCTCAACACATTTGCCATGGGTAAGTTGCGTGTATAATTAAGCAGTGAAGACTCTTGCCTACTATTCTGGAAAGCTCCATTATAAAAGAAAATTCTAACTAACCACAAATTAAAATACACACGCCCTCAGTTTCTAATGAGTTTGCAAACACCAGAGCTTTCTAGCAGTGATATTCATGCTCATTTCTAACTACAATCCACAGAAAGAAAAGGAGTACTTGTGGCACCTTAGAGACTAACCAATTTATTTGAGCATGAGATGTTGCATCCGATGAAGTGAGCTGTAGCTCACGAAAGCTCATGCTCAAATAAATTGGTTAGTCTCTAAGGTGCCACAAGTACTCCTTTTCTTTTTGCGAATACAGACTAACATGGCTGTTACTCTAAATACAATCCACAGACTCACTGATCTGATTTTCCTCCCTGTTTTCACATATTAAAGCCATTAGGCAGCAGCCATAACAGACTCAGGGGGGTGGCATTTTTGCCAAATTCTCCCTCTCCAGTAGGTGCCATCATTTCACTTCTCCTCCACCCTGGTGGCATGTGGGAATTGCGGTGAAGAACACAGCCCACCTCCTTTGATTAATTCATTCATTTGCTGCTCACCTGCTGAGACAGCACAGAGTCAGGTAAGACAGGTACAGCTGTGTCCATTGTCACTTCTCTGCATGGTCAACGTCCGTGTTTTCAAATGACAGTTGTGGCATTTTGGTTATCCGTGAGGTTTTCCCGAGCCATCATTCCACTTAGCAGCCCCATAGCGCAGGAAGGGCAAGAGTGAAGTTGACTTTTTCAAATGAATTATTTTTTAATTTAGTATTGCATCTGTTTTTTGAGACCGTTTATTAATGATCACTGCACCACTCCCAAACTCCCGAGAGCATCCCTAGTCACGCCAGTATTTAAACCTGTGCTTAACGTACTGGCTTAAGGCCTATGGAAGTGCATGCTTAAAGGTGTAGCACCTGTGTTCGTGCTGTCCTGAACCAGGGCCCGGGAGGTTATAACACTAGCCCCTTCTCCCGCAGCTTCTTGCCAAGGCTCTCAAAGCACGTGACAAACACTAGTGAGTTAAAGTGCACGGCTCCCGCACCAGGTAGGGCAGTGTTGTTATGTGTCACTACTACCCTGCTGAGGCACGGCGGTCCAGTGCAGGGCAGAACCTAAGGCCCATGCATTACTCATTACTGTGTTATTACAGGAAAGCCATCATAATGTCCCCAAGCTAACCCCAGTGCCAGAGCTGTTAGTGCCTGTCCTGGCATGCCCGGGGGGGTCTGTCTGACAGAGGTGCTGAGCATCCAGGCTGCAGTGGAACCCGAGGGAGGAAACTGGCTTTTTGCTTTTAGGGCTCCTGCCACTATCACAGCTCCATACGCATGTAAAAAAGCTTAGGTAAGTCAAGCCCAGCCATTGTGCAGCCTCTGACCGTGCCAGAGGACAGCTAGTGAGCTGGTGCATGGCTGAGGAATCGGCTCTTGGGGTGCCTTTACACCATATGTCACAGCTCCTTGCCGATTCACACAGCACGGAGACCCAGCTTTCCAGAGAGCATGGCTGCTCTACTCCCTGCTGGGAGACTCCCTGGGAAGATGGAGACATTCCAACCTGCAGGTGTAACATCACGGCGGGACACAGGGACACAGAGAGTAACTTGTGACTCAGACTTCCCCGTGTGCACTCTGGGTGACCCAAGGGAGACATTCTTTGTCTCCAGCGGAGGACGAAACATCTGCTGCCTGCTGTCCTGAGCCTTGCGGTTACAGGGCAGATGGCATTCATAAACATCTCCCCCAGCTGACAGAACATCCAACCCCTGGTTCATTCCCAGAATGGTGACAAGTGGGTCCTAGGGAGGCAGCTCTGAAAAAGGGGCTGGATTTGTGGGGGAAGGGCACAGACCTTTCTGAGTTCCCCAAAACTCTCTCCCATCGAGCTCCCCAATGTACTGAAATAAGCGGTGTCCTTAGGAACACAGCTATGGCCCTACATGATCAGACACCTCATGTCTGGCCTCTGCTGATGCCTGATGCTGCAGAGGGAGGAGTAAACAAGGTAAGGCTGCCAGCTGCCTCCTTCACCTATGGGGATTGGCTGCAATTTGTTTATCCCTTCCTTAGCACAGGCACCCTCAGGCTGAATCCCGATCACACCTATTGTCCAACCTGGCCCCTTTGTTATTCATTGGCCTGCATGGTTGGCACTGCCCATGCAGATCCCAAGGAAGGTCTCTGCTCACGGGGCCCAGCCAGACAACCGAGAAGGGTGGGGAAGAGGGTAGAGTGTGGGAAGAAGAGTTATGGCAGAGAAGGGTGGGGCAGCAGGCTCACTCTTACACACATATTGGCTCCTCTGCTCTGGGGGCTATGAATGTTGACATGTAATTGCAGGGAGGGCTAGCGAAGGGGGCCGGGGATCTGAAGGAGGAGGAGAGCTTGCACATTCCACAAGCAGCTGCCAAAGGTGGCACTTGGATTCATGGGGCCTGGCACTCACTGTCCCAGCCCGACATATGTCGTGGTGCTTGGCTGTAACGTGCGTGCGCTGGTCAGCTGTGCTGTTTCCGACCCAGGGATTCTCCCTGGATTCTCATCATGAGCTACCACAAGTTGGCTGTAACTCTTGGAGGTGCCATGCTGACTAGCAACAAAAGCCATGTGGGGCGTCTCCTGGAGCTGAGCGGTGAAAGCCTTGGAGAACAGAGCACCTTGTGCCATAAAGCCCCTGGGACGAAGCAGCCCAGCTCAGCAGCGAGAGCTTTCAGTGAGACAGCAATACCATGGCAATCTTTAAAATGCGTTTTCATAACGTAGCTGTCCTTAGCCCTTTTAAATCTGAGGTGCTCAACGTGCTTTACACGTACACACACAGGGTAAGCAAGGGATAAATGAATGGAGCACGGCACCCACCACTGAAACGGAGCCTCTTCCGGGGTGCAACATGGTAGCTGTCTAAAAGTCAACAGCAACACAACACACCGGCTCAGGTCAGGAAAGGACAAAGAACCCTGGACCAACTGCTGCTGAAGAAAGGAAATTGAGTAAAGAGATGGGCAACTTGTGCTTACTGATCCACGAATGAAACCGGGTGACCCGCCTAGAAATATGACGAGCTAGTGACCTTAGAAGCAAGGGCATAACCATCTGGTAACCTTCCGTCTCACATTTTCTTCTTTCCCCCTCCACCCTATAACATTTCTGACTCAAAACCAACTTGGAGCAATGCGGAAGGACAGACGGACGGAGTGGGAAAAGCCTTGCTCCATCAATTCCCTCCTGATAGGCTAATCTTGGCAATAGCTCTGCCTGTGAGTCACTCTCCAGTGGTAGATGCAGAGAAGATTATGCAAGTGATGTTGATGCTGACAGATGGGTGTCAAATTACAATCCAAATCATAATTCCTGCTTGACGACTCCCGTTGTGGGTTTTAAATAGCACTCCCACTGTCCAGCGGTCAGTGCTAAGGTAGAGCACCAAAGAGCAGGGGCTGCTCAGCTCAGGCAGAGTGGGGAGAGCTGCAGAGCATCTGAGACTCTGGACAAACCACATGGGTTCTGGCACCCTTCGGGCACTCGGTGATTGAAGGGCACGTGCTGCGTTCCAGGCATCCCTTGGATCTGGGAAACTGACTCTTTCCACAGTCTGAAGGACACCTCGCAGCTGGGCAGACATGGTGAGTCACCAGCATGGTAGAACAGCTTTCTTTCACTTCCCAGGGCCCCCTGGCAGATCCCACCATCCTTCCCATAGGGATGGGAGAAGCTCACCTCCCTATTCACTGCCATTTCACTGCTCTCCTGCTGGAATTTCAGACTCAGTCAGATAGAGAGCTGCTCTGTGTTTGAACGAGGTAGATTTATTATCCCTGGGTGTGAAAGAAAAAACCAGGGCACTCCCGTTCCCCCTTTCAAATGACCTGTTCTTCCGTGGCTCTGAATATCCAACAGCAGTTCTGAGCCCGGGAGTGTAACCCATCCTCTGCCCCCTTTCTTCTTCTGGGCTTTGCTTTATTGCTTGCTAAAAATACCATGAAATGCTACTGCCCAGAGCCCGTAGCTCCCCAACTTCTGCATGGCTTCCCCTCCTGCCTCTCCACCCTAGGAACTGCACAAATACATCACTGGAATTAGCTTCCCCTCAAAAGTTTGCTTGCTGGGGTCCAGGGCTCTTCCTGAGGTCAAAATACATGTGTTCTTAGAAGGGTCATTCCCTAAGAGAGTCGCCAGCCTCCCCCAAGCTTCTCAGCCAATGCCCCTGGAACTGGACTGCCCCAAAGGGAAGGCGCTGTGGAACGTGGGTGCAACGTGCACTAACACTATGGCTGTGTGCACGAGGGTTTTCAGAAAATCTGCCCCCGTGTCTCTCCCCCAACGGCAGCTGCAGTGCGAGCAGGGGCAGTGCACAGGGGTGTCGCCCAATGCAGGCGGAGAACACACTGGCACTGTGAGCAGCAGGATATTTCCCCAAAAGATCGTAGTGCAGACAAGGCTCAGGACAGGAGAATGACCACTGATTTCAATGGGAACAAAGCCCCCAGTCTGCACCCCTTACTCACCCTGAAGAGTACACATGCCTGTTGAAGTTACTAGGATTGAAAGGGGCAGAATGTGACAGTAACTCAGGCTTCTGCAAAGGACGTCCCATTTCCATGTCCCAGAGATCTGACAGCCATTTTTGGAAGGTTCTATCAACTTTCCTTTGCAAAGTCTACACAGAGCACAGCTCACACTAGCTAGCAGGCTTCTCTGATAGAAGGAGTGGGAAACATTTTCATGCAGATGATGTAGGCTGTGACGAAGTGCATCCTACTATAATTACCCATTTAATAGTGCCCCTCACAGAGAGAGCCCTCTGTAGACTCTGACGAATCAGCCCAACCACCTCACAGTGAGAGAGGGAGGTAAAGAAATACCATCCCCCATTTTATAGCTGGGAGAGCTAGACGAAAAGGGGCAGCGTGATTTGCCAAAGGTCAGTGAGTTCGTACAACCCAGGAGTTCCTCACTCCCAGTCCAGAGTGCATACCATTTACTCACTAATTAATGAGTCCTTACGAATCGAAGCAGCATGGGAAGAATTCCTTCCTCTCTTTCTTAAAAGTAAAAAACAGTAAATGTAACAGTTCAGCATGCAGCTCTGCACCATCACCCCCGTGTTGTCTGTGCCACACAGCCAGAGGAATCAGTAAAGTCAGAATGACCCCTGTAACTGATCCCTGACACAAGCAGGGTGCAGCAAACCTAGGGCTTGGATGAATCCACCCAAATGTCCTGGATTCAAATGCTTATTTCGGAGTCAAACACTTGTTGGTTTGCGTTTGTCAGGACACGGTTTGGGGCACCAGAGCATCAGAAGCTGCATTAATGTTCTGTCAGAGAAAACAGCAAGGTCATTTTAATTAGCCATAGCAGCTCCCAGTTTTCCAAGAAAACTGTGTTTGCTTTACATAAACAAGCTGGCACAGTTCCTGCCATGCTTTGAATTTAACCAATGCAGCTATAATTACAATGGGCTGTGTTTGATGTCAGTTAGAGGGATACTGCACACACACTGACTGGCTGCCTCCAGAGACCAGACTGAAAGCAGAGACTTTCTTTTGATATGAGGAGATTGCATAGACCCACGGAAAGGCTAAGACCAAGTATAGCTCAGACATTATCCACTCTGCTCAAGAAGGATTTGATATGCACAGGACGTCATTCAACTGGCCACTTGTGTCTCTAAACACTAGTCTAGTCTCTAGGCAAGTTTTCATTCCAGCATTATAGAATCCTAGAAGATTAGGGTTGGAAGATACATAAGGAGGTCATCTAGTCCAACCCCCTGCTCAAAGCAGGACCAACACCAACTAAATCATCCCAGCCAGGCCTTTGTCAAGCTGGGCCTTAAAAACCTCTAAGGATGGACATTCCACCACCTCCCTAGGTAACCCATTCCAGTGCTTCACCAACCTCCTAGTGAAATAGTTTTTCCTAATATCCAACCTAAACCACCCCCACTGCAACTTGAGACCATTGCTCCTTATTCTGTCATCTGCCACCACTGAGAACAGCTGAACTCCATCCTCTTTGGAACCCTCCTTCAGGTAGTTGAAAGGTGCTATCAAATCCCCCCTCACTCTTCTCTTCTGCAGACTGAAAACCCCAGTTCCCTCAGCCTCTCCTTGTAAGTTGTGTGCCCCAGCCCCGTAATCATTTCTGTTGCCCGCTGCTGGACTCTCTCCAATTTTTCCACATCCCTTCTCTAGTGGGGGGGACCAAAACTGGACACGATACTCCAGGTGTGGCCTCACCAGTGCTCAATAGAGGGGAATAATCACTTCCCTCGATTTGCTGGCAATGCTCCTACTAATGCAGCCCAATATGCCGTTAGCCTTCTTGGCAACAAGGGCACACTGCTGACTCATATCCAGCTTCTTATCCACAGTAACCCCTAGGTCCTTTTCTGCAGAACTGCTGCTTAGCCAGTCGGTGCCCAGCCTGTAAAGGTGCATGGAATTTTTCCTTTTTAAGTGCAGGACTCTGCACTTGTCCTTGTTGAACTTCATCAGATTTCTTTTGGCCCAATCTTCCAATTTATCTAGGTCACTCTGGACCCTATCCCTACCCTCCAGCGTATCTACCTCTCCCCCCAGCTTAGTGTCATCTGCGAACTTGCTGAAGGTGCAATTCATCTCATCATCCAGATCATTAAATCTGGGCTGAATTGTCTGCAATGAAACACGTAACAAAGACCGACCTGAGGCAGCCACAGGGGGACAGAGAGTTCAGCTGGTCCAAAAGGCCTTTGAAAGTCCAAACAGAGCCCTGAGCAGGGCTCCAACAAGCAGGAAGCTCTGTGGAAGAAGGAGAAGGACAGGAACTCAGCAGAGTCCCCTGCCAGCACCCCGGGGCCAGTGTGGGAATTTGGCCCTAAGTATTTATGTAGAGTGGGCAGCTGCCCGTGATTATTGCAGAGGGGGAATCTCCTCAGTGACCTAGGCTGAACCTAGCCTTCTACTTCCCCACCCTTGGCATGGTGGCATGAGCCCTCTTAGTTATAGAAGAGGCTCGGTCTGTGAGGTAAGGCTGGAATTCAGAGGCCGCTGGAGGGACGCTGACACAAGAGGTCAGAGCCAGGGAGGACTGGTCATGTGTTTGTTCAAAGCCCTCATGATCACCGGAGGCTGCAGGTGGTATTTCATGGGTGAGCAGGCTGGGCTGTTGCAAGGCAATCTGGCATTTATACAGACACCACACACAGAAGATAGCAGCTTCCTGGAAGAAATCAAGTCAGGGATGGGCAGAGGAAAAGGCAGAAAGCTAAACTGACTCCCTAGCCCCAAAGATACACCCCTCCTTCTCCCCCTTACACTCTCACTGCCCCACACACCCACTCCCCAGACAGATTTACTTTTTCACACCAGACTCCTGGATCTCCTTATTGGCAAGCAGCTGGTATGTTGTACATTACCCAACCACCTGCTGCCCTGCCATGACTCACTGCTGAACATGGGCTTCAAGGACAAAGATCCTGACTAATCTGCCCCAGGGAGGAAAAACCCAGACCATAAACATCTCTCCCTGCCCCACTAAACTCCAGGGACAAGTTTGTTAGGATTTAACCCATTTCACGGGCTATGGTAGAGAAGTGGAAGAGACAGTGGGTATTACGAAGCACTGCCAGACAGCCCAGAGAGCTCAGTAAATAGTGAGTTATGGACACCGTGCTCACGAATTTCCAAAGGGTTTCCAATAATAATAAAAGCTTGCATTTCCACAGCAGCCTGGAGGGTTGAGCAGAGGGCAAGGGATCAGCAGATCCTGGATTCGAATCCTGACCCTGGCCCTGACTTCAGGTTGCAATGCAGGTGAGGGAAGGCCTGTCTCAGGTCTCACTCCCTACCCTGTACAGTGGCCCGCAAAACCAAGAGCCAGCCCTGAGCAGCACTAGGACGGCAGCACTGAGTTCCAGGCAGACAGCACAGAGAAGGAGAAGACAAGAGACCCCGATCCAAACGCCCTTGCCACAGAAGAGAATGGAGGCTTGTGCTGGGGAACCCAGGTACTGTGCACTGCAGGCCAGTGGGCATGTTTGGACCCTGCTAGAACACACGGAGAAGCACTCTGCCCCCATGGCACTGCTAATCACCCGCTCTCTGCGCTGCCCCGTGTGGTTTTATCCCAGACACCCACAACATCTGCGGCTTTTCTTAGCGCCCCGCTCCTGGAGTCCGGTGACAACACGAGAATCGCAGCTTTCATTTAAAACAAAAAGTCAGCCTCTAGCCCTGGCGGCTGTGGAGAAAATGCTGACAAGGTGAATGCGTCCCAGCGGCTCAGCAAGCAGGAGGCAAAGAGACAATACCACCACCATTTACTGTGGGTTAGAGCCCATGATTCTGGGGGCCTGACTCGTGATTTTTAAATGCTCGGGGTGAGCAACCCTGCAAATGATTAATAACAGCAAACAGCTGAGAAGTCTGACATCACACAACCCCCTCCCCCACTCAACAAGCCTCCACATCCCTGCTCCCAGGCTCTGGAATCTCACTCCCTGTTGAATCTGTCTCCTTTGTGGGCCATTTTGTCTTAGCATTTGACCCCCCTGTTCCCTGCTCATCCCGGGCACAGTCCCTGCACAGAGCCCTGACGCTTACCTGCCATTGCAGCGTCCAGCAGTGACACTGGATGGAATGGTCTCGCGCAGGGCTGGAAGGGACATTAAAGTGACATGGAAATGGGCTGATTTCCATAGGCCAGGAGTTCACTGTGAAAGCAGCCAGGGTCAGAGGGCAGCTCTTGGCAGCACAGTGAAGGCATCCATGCAAATATATAGCGGCCACATGAAAGTCCAGCCACGCTGCCCTGACTCTCTCTGTTTAGCATGAATACATCGACCAGAGAGAAGCTTGGCTGCTCCTAAGGCAAAGCCTGGGTGATGTGTTTATCAGGACTTCTCCTTCTGTAATCAGGTGTGGAGAGAAGGAGGGGGCTTAGTGTCTTATTTATCACTTTCTCCTGAGACTGGCTGCTGCAAAGGGGTTTTTTTACACGTCTCCTAGCAGCTGCAATAGCTGTCCCTGCTCTTTCTTTATACTGTTTGTCCCTGTAGGCTGGGGGTGGCTTCCCCGCCCCGCTCTGCAGGGACCACGCAGACATACACAGCACGATGGAAAAAGGCAAAAGACATGGGAACAGCCTCAGGGTGTGGGGCAGCCCAAGCCATCAAATTGGACCTGGGCGGCAATGCAAGGCAGATACACTGGAAAAGCCACCTGCCTCTTGCTGCTGTGCAGCCTGCTTTATTCCTGAGCTGGGGGAATGGGGGATGTGCCTCTCTCCGGAGTTCATCCCCTGCCTAGATATTTGTTAGGCTATTCCCACAGTGCACCAGCCTGCACGGAATGGCAGGGTCAGCAAAGTTCTTTCCAGGGGCAGAATCGCCCACACACCAATGCCCGAGTCTCCTGGAAAGGGCCTCCGTCTGCTACCAACCAGTGCTTCCTGCACGCCCGTGGACACTATCAAAAGATGCCCCCAGAAGTGCCAGTTAGGGGGTCTCAGGAAACTCTCAGGCAGGCAAGAGAGGCCACTTCCGGCCAACCGAGAGAGCCCCTGAACAAATCTTGACTCCAACACCCAGGCACTAGGAGCGCTTTCAAATCTGCAACTCAATCTAGTTCTCAATTTTTCATCCCTATTTTTAACATGGATTGAATTCAAAACCCTGAGGTGTTTGAAATCTGGTTCTCAGTCAGCTGGCTGAGGCCCAGCTGTAGTTAATCCCTAGCCTAGAGTTTCACATCCCCTTGAATCAGACCCCGGGCAGCCCCTCTGCTCGGTCTGTGCCCAGACTTTCAGTTCTGCACAACTTCTCAATGCAGTTCAGTGACGCTGAGGTGATGCAATCTGTTCCTTGGCACTGCCAACTCAGAGACTCTACCTGGATTTTAGTAACAAGTTCCCCAGACAATTGTAGCCTTCGTTCTTTTGGAAAATTACATGCGGAGTTTCAATGGGGTTATTTTTTTCTTTGTTGTTAGTTTGTTTTCAATTAACTGTGGAAAAAATTGCACAGGTGGAGAAGCATCCTCAGACATAGAGCCACAGAAACGTGGGGCTGGAAAGGGCCTCAACAGCTCGCCCAGTCCAGCCCTGCCCTGAGACAGGACCAAATAAACCCAGACCCTCCCTGACAGGCGTTTGTCTGACCTGTTCTTAAAACCCTCTGGTGACAGGGATTGGACAACCTGCCTTGGAGCCTGTTCCAGAGCTTAGCTACCCTGAGAGTTAGAAAGGTTTTCCGAATATCTCACTGTACTGCAGATTAATCCCATTACTTCTTATCCTGCCTTCAGTGAACATGGAGAACAATTGATCACCATCCTCTTTATAACAGCCTTTAACATAGTTCAAGACTCTTCTCAGGTCCCCCCCTCAGTCTTCTTTTCGTATGACTAAACATCCAGTTTTTTCAACTTTTTCCTCATATGTGAGATTTTCTAAACCCTTTATCATTTTTGTTGTTCTCCTCTGGACTCTCTCCCAGTTGTCCATATCTTTCCTTAAGTGTGGTGCCCAGCTGAGGCCTCATCAATGCCAAGTAGCGTGAGACAATTACTTCCCATGTCTTACATACGATACTCCTGTTAATACACTCCAGAATGATATTAGCCTTTTTTACAACTGCATCATGTTGTTGACTTATTCAAATTTGTCAACAGCTAGAACCCCCAGTTCCTTTTCAGCAGTACGACCACCTAGCCAGTTTTTCCCCATTTTGTAGTTGTCTTCTGATTTTGCCTTTCCTTTTTCAAGTGAAGTGTTTTTCACTTGTCTTTATCAAATTTCAACTTGTTGATGTCACACAGATTCTCCCATTTGTCAAGGCCATTTTGGAATTCTAATCCTGTCCTCCAATGTGCTTGCAACCCCTCCCAGCTGGGTGTCATCCACAAATTTTATAAGCACAGTCTCCACTCCATTGTCCAAGTCACTAATGAAAATACTGAATAGTGTCAGCCCCAGGACTGATCCCTGTGGGACCCCACTACATGCAGTCTCCCAGTTTGACAGCGAATCATTGAGAACTACTCTTTGAATATGGTTCTTCAACCAGTTTTGCACCCACCTTATACTAATTGCATCTAGACCCCATTTCCCTAGTTTGCTTGTGAGGCTGTCATATGGGACTGACTAAGCCTCATTAAAGTCAAGGGGAAATGATCACATACTTCACTTGAAGCAGGTGAGTAGCCTAATCAGCGGATCTATTCCCCTGCGTATGTCCTTAGTGACCTGGGAGGTCTTGTGTCCACTCGCCATGCTGGGACACAAAGAACAATGCAACGCAGCCCATGTCATTGCAGCCAAAGGATTGCTGCTCTGTCACCTTAAAGATGAAATGGGAACATGCAGGCATTTCCCCCCATCTGGCATATCCTAGTTCATCTCATCTCCAGGGTATTTCTCAGGTGCCTGTCTCCTCAGTACCTAAGGCCTGAATATGGTGGAATAGTATCAAGGTCCAGAACAAAATGGTCAGGAATCTCTCCTTGCGACGCCTGGGAGCTGCAGGGGCATGGCACCTGGGACAGCCAAGCCATAAAGTCTTTGAGGAGACAAGCATGTGATGACAACACAGACTTCTCAGGGATATTTGGTTACATAAGCAAAAGCAGAACTGGGGCCTTAGCCTTTAACATAAAGCACCAGGGTCATTCCATGGGGAGACCATGGCCAGATCCAGTGGAAAGACTCCCCTGACTTCCATGGGCTTTAGATCAGTTAGGATCAAGGTCTTTGGTATCCAAGCAAGCAGCCCTGCACTATGCACACAGACTCCCGTCCCAGGAACCCTCCTTTCCCAGCACCCGCTGTACTTTTAATGCACGTATTCAGTTCACTGACTGCTGTTCCCTTCCATTCGCAGGACACAAATTCTGAGTGGCCCCTGAACAGGAGAGGTAATGGCCTTAGGATCTCAGGCGTGGTTGTAAGTGTTGCTAACTGTGCTGGGCTGTGCTCCAAAACCACGTGCCCATGAGCCACTCTCTGTCTTGCAGGTCCTCCTCTGCCATGCAAACCCCTGACTGGGGCACAAAATTTCAAGCGATTTGGCATCCCGCTCATTGCCACCATCCTGAGCCTGGCCACCATCGTTGTAATTGCCTTCCTAAGTAAGGTCCCTTCTTTCCTGTCCCACTTGCATGCTGGGGGCTTGCACAGCAGCCATACTGCCCTCTTGCTCTACACTCCTCCAGGTGCCCTAGCAAGCTTGGCGAGAGCACGCCTGACAAGGTGCCCTAGTGATAGCTCCTGAGGCGACAGTCTTTCCCCTGCGGAAAGGGGACTTCGCGCCTGCGGAGGCCAGTGTGATTTGGGGAGAAACAGGGTGAGATGCAGACTTCAGATCCAGATCCCAGCCCCATCCCAAAGCCTGGGGCTGTTGGGATCCAGGGTTTGGGGGGAGGGACGATTCTAGCTTCAGGGATCTCATCCTAATGCCACCTTTAGGCCAGGTTGTGTCTGACTCCAGTGTTCACGCAGAAGTTGGGGGGCAAACTGCAAGCAGCCTTTGCCCTCCTGTGGGGGGTGTATTGAGGATTGTTGGAATTTTGCAAGCTATTGCTTTAAGAGTGGGAGGGTTCCCTGGTGCTGCTTGCGGGCCCTGCGGCTCTGTAGTGATGCCTGCAAGTGGAGTCAGTCTGCCAGGCTAGAAACAGACTGCTCAAAACACAGTGGGGTGTCTCATCGCCCTAGAGAGGAGCCTGTTTTCTCCTTCTCTGTTTTCGAGCTCTTGTGTTTTTGTTCTCAGTGCTAAGAAATAAAATTGCGTTACGTTGAAAGCTCCCAGTGAGAGATTTCATCCCTGTGTGCGTATGCCATGAACACAACTCTGTGCAGAAGGCAGGCACAACTGGGCCCCAGGGCACAGTTCACTCCCTGCTACTGCCCCCAGGGCAATGGGAATGCTACAGGGCTATACTTGCCCCCACTGCACTGGCCAGCTGAGTCAGCTTGGATGGGTAGGGGCACCTCTATGGGCTGGTGCAGAGACATGCACTGTGCATCTAAAACACACACACACCCTCCTGGTATCCACGTGGGCCTAGAGCTCTTGGGTGTGTGCCCAGCATCCCCACATAGCTTGAAATGGCTCAGCACATGGCTTAACCCGGACCTGAGTCTGCATTGGGAGAGCATACATGGAAAGCTTCCCCCCCTCAGAGGCCTGCAGAGTGGGTGCTGCCAAACCCCTTGATCTCAGGAGAAGCCATTTGCAACAAAGATTTAAACCCACCCCCCAAAGTTCCCTGGCAGACATGAGCCAAACATCACAGACCAAGGTGGACTCTGTCCTTTTCCCCTCTAGTCAAGGCAGTTCTGGAACACTACTACTTCCTCTGCAGTAAGACATTCAAGTTCATCCCCATGCAGCAGCAGTGTGACGGGCAGGAAGACTGCTCCTGGGGCGAGGACGAGGAGAGCTGTGTGCAGCAGGTCCCAGAAGGCCCACCCATGGAAGGTGAGTTGTGGGTTTTATGCCAGCACTACCATACTGTGCAGGGGGCATGAGCAGGTCTGGGGGCTGAAAGCAGCATTCAGAGCCTTTTGCTGCATGTAGAAATCACTGGAACCAGGGGCCAATGGCTGTAACGAGGATTAGCATGCACAAGATACTGCAAATATGCCAAACTGCAGCCACCTGGAGGGGAGCCTGCAATGCAGCTGACTCTGTGTGTTTCTCCCTAGTCCGCATTTCCAAAGACAGATCCACCTTGCAGGTGCTAAACAAAGAGACCGGAGCCTGGTTCTGGGCATGTCATGATAACTTTCATATGACCCTGGCAAAAGCAGCCTGCAAGCAAATGGGCTATAGCAGGTACCTGCCTTCCATCTCACTCCCCCTGCACTCCGGCTTTCTGGTCATCTCTTTTCCCCCTTCTCTCTCTCATTGGTATGGAGCTTGCTACCCCTTTAAAAAAAACATTTCGGGGGGGGGGGGGGGATACTTGAAATAACTATTAATGCTTATTAGCATGCAGAGCTCTGGACCAGTGTCCACAGAGCAGGGACAGCCGAGGTGTCCCCTTCACTGCCCCTCTAGGCATGAGAGGGAGCCTAGCCTCTGTGGCCCATTCAGTCCTTTCTCTCTGCGGAGGCTGTACTCGGCTTTGGGGATGCAAGCACATAGACAAACTCCAAGCAGCCCTGCCCTGCCCTCCCTATCTGGCTGTGGCACTAGGCCTCAGTTTTCCCTCTTCTCCAGGATCCGACTCTATAAAGTCTCAGGCACCCAGAGCAATCACCCTCAGGTCTCTCCTGCTGGGCTTCCATTTATCATCTTAAACAGAACAGAAACACACCTAGCCTCATGCCCTTGTAGCTGGCTCTCCGAGGCCCTTCCAGGGGTTACGCAGTCACCCTCAGATCAGGGCTTCTCTGCATCTCCCTAGTCAGGCTGGCCACTAGTCTTGCTCCTGAGGTCCTCCCCCTGCACAGGGAGGACCCCCCACCCCACCTCTTAGCCATTGCCCTTCTACCCAGCTCTGCAGCCAACCCAGCACCTTCCCACTTCCCCTTTCTCTGAGTGAGTACCAGGCTCTGCCTTTTATAGCCTGCCTTGCTCACATGATCAGTCACATGATCTCAGGGGGCTATTCCCTCCCCCAGTATTCCCAGCCTTAAAGGATTGAGGGCACAAAACAGCTGGGCTAGCCTGTGTTACAAGCGCTCTGCACAGTCATTTCACGCAGGGCCCCAAGTTGCCGTCCAGGGGTTCTGAATGTTGCTGACCACCAACCAGAGCCAGGTCTGAAAGAGCAAGCTGGCTGTGAAAGGTGCTGTCTCCCCTCTCTAGCCTGCACCAGCGCTTTTCAGCAAACACAGCTGAGCCGGTACTGCACAACTAAGTAAGGCCAGGATTTTCTAAGGAGCCTGGCATCCAAAAATCATGAGATTGGCTAAAAAGCATGAGTTTTTTTAAAAAAATAATACAGTGGGGTGGGTTTTTGTTTTTTCCTCCTTCTGGTGTTGGAGCCTTTAAGGTTCAAGTTTTCAAATGTTTCTCCATGATCATGGCGGCTAGAAACTTCTTTAAAAAATAAAAATGAGGATTCTCACCTAATCCCTGACTCAAGGAGCTGGGGCTTAAGCAAAATACCAACTAGGATGAGAGCTGTCATCAGATTATGGGCACCTAACTCCCTTAGGCTCCTTTGAAAATCCTAGCCTGATTGTTTTCACACTGCAACTTCCCCAGACACAGAATCCTTTCCACTAAACCAGCCACTGATGCATGTTACCAGCAGGTGAGCAAGTAAAGTGCCATCAATCACTACACCCTCCAGGAATCCCACTGGATATGAAACATGAGAACACTCTCAATTCCTGACACGAATGGAAATGAAAGTAAAAGATAAAGCGCACACACGCACACACACACCCCAGACTCCCATGGGCTCCTTTCTGGGGTGCCTTTGCTGCAGGGACCAGCAAGAAGGGCATCCATGTGCAATGCTTATTTTAACAAGAAAGGCTCCCCTTTGTTCCTCAGCCAAACTGGCTCCACCAGCTGGAACAGCCTCCGTCCTGCAGCGAGGGAGCTGGCTCTGGCAGTGTGACAGGTCACTGAGCTGCCATGGGCCTGCTGAGCTTGCACTTTGCAAGTGACACTCCAGGATTCTGTGGTTGTTTGGGGCGAGCAGCAGGGTTGGGGTCTCCCTTCGCTGTGGCCATTCGGGTTATTTTTCTCTTTCCATTCCTGTTTTTCTCTGCCTCATTCTTGTTTCTTTCTCTCCTTCACCCTCTGCTTTTCACTGGTCCTTTCTCCTGTGGTTCATGCTGTAAATCCAGAGCGAGTGCCCTGAAGCGAGGCCAGACGTGCTCTGGCACGGTACAGAGATGGACCTGCCCTTCCCCGACCCCAAGATGATCCGAGCTGAGAGGGGTCCATTGTACGGTGCACGCTGCATGGCCGTAGCTTTCTCCCCGGGTGTTGTCCTTCCTGGGCGGCTGGCCCAGACTCAGTCCCACTGCCCGCAAGGGACCACATTCTCCTTGCAGGGACCCCTTGTGGGCTCAGTCTGTGAGCTCCTGTCTTCTCACAGACCCACTGGGCCAGGATCCCCAGCTTTGCCCAACTGAGTGGCACTTTGCCAGGAGCCACAATGCCGGATGAAATGAGGCAGATTGCCGTGGCCACCCCAAACTTTAACAGGGAAATGTCATGTCCCACTATGCAATGCTCCATCACCGGCCCGGCAGCAGGGAAGTCCCAGCGTCTCGGCCACTCACAGCTTGGACAGGGGCAGGCACAGGCCGGCTACCGCTGGCTGTGCTCCTGGGATGGGCCCACTCTGATAAAACACTGTCTGTATTTTCCAGTGACCCAGCATTCAGAGCTGTGGACATTGCAGACACGCAGGGCCTGCCCCTCAGGGAGGTCACATTGAACAATGGGGTCCTCCAAGGGCAAGACTCCGGCAGGTGAGTGGAAAAGCAACCGGTAGATGAGCTGTGGAATGGATTAACTTGGCCACTTCAGTGCATCTCGTGGAGAAGGGCTGCTGAGATCAGCAGGGGTCGCTCCTGGGCTGATTCTCCTGTGGCTGAGAACAGAGCAGCAATGGTTCTTAGCCTTAGCGCTTACGTAGCATTTCCTTGCTCATCGGCAGTATTACTGATCTGCTCCTCAGCTTGGGCGGCAGCTCTGTGTCACTCTGCCCATGTTACAGTTGAGAAACTGAGGCACATGATTTGTCTAAGGCCACAGAGGGTATCAGCGTCAGAAATGAAGCCCAGGATGCATTCCTGGCACCCAGCCCTCTGCTCAGACCACCCTTTATCCATGAGGTTTATAGGGGTTTGTTAGCCAATGCCCCTGTGATTCAACACAACTGGCTGGCACACACATTGCTGACGGTTCCCATGACAGCCCCCAAATGTCCAGACTGACCAGCTTCCCACCAGCCACAAGCCTGTGCTCTGTTAGTGATGCTGACCTATAAGCAGGCCCCAGCGTGCTAGTGAAATCCCTTGGGGCCAGGGACAGAGATGTTCCTTTGCTGGGAACAAGGTTTAATCGTGACCAGCTCCCACAATCTGCCCTGGTTCACGCTGACCCATCAGCGATGGGTCAGTAACTCAGGGCCTCACAGCTATGTGTGGACACCACTCTGCTGGGGAGTCGCTGAACCTGGGTGGGCTCAGAACCACACAGCCCCACACACCGTTCCAATGGGACAGGATTTCTGTGCCCTGAGCAGGACCTTTCTGCCAGCCAATGCCCTGTGAGGTGCTTCTGGCAGCTGGCGCTGGGTGCCATTGACACACCCTGGTCGGGGCATCGCTAGGAACACAGCTACACCTTGCCAAACCAGGGAACGTACAAGCCGCTTGCTTTGGACGTCTGGTGAGGAAGCCTCTGACCCCCAGCCTCTCCTCCCCTCCCCAGGGCAGGGCCACAGCCAGGCAGGGATTAGTGCACAGGAGGACACTGCTCAGCTCTGCAGCAGCCTCACTCTGTGCAGTGAATGCCCCAGGGCCTGGGCCTGAGCCAGCTGCTGACCCGCAAGCTGTCAGTCCAGCCGCTGCAGAGTGTATCGTCTCTGTGGTGGTCACGGCGGAGTTTGTAGCAAGGTGCAAAGGCTGCTGCTGCTTCAGTCCACAGGGACTTTATGAACGTGGCTCGGCTCAGGGACTCGGCCTGTCAGGAGCCCAGAACAGTCAGCAGAGCCATGCCACACCTCTGAGCAAGCCCCCGGGCTTGAGGAGGCTCCTCACATGCGCAAGATGGGCAGGATTCACCCATTTGGCGGGGGGTTCAGTCCACAGGCCGAAGAGCTGATTTTAAGGCGACAGTCTACAAACCAATGCAATGTGCGACCCCTATGGCCCCTGGGCAGAGACGGGCTGTGAGAGACACAGCAGGTAACGCGCCATTTTCCTCTTCCAGGCAGTGCCTCTCTGGGACCGTCGTTTCACTCGCATGTGCCAGTAAGTGTGATTCTGTTATCAATGTAGACGCACTTATGGCTTAACCCCTGCTTACACTGGGTTAGCTAGGGTAGGTGAATTATCTGATTAATTATGCTAAGCCAATTAAGGTTTACAGTTTGAAAGGGAAGGGGATAAATAAACTGATTTAAGCAAGTGTGGCAAAATTCTAAAGAAAGTTACAGAGTCTGTGATATACGTGCAAGCCCTGCAGTGTCAATGGGAGGCAATACATACACAAAACACACATGTACACATATGTTCTTTACCAGCTCTTTGGCTCATAGACATACAGTCTGCACAGACATTCTGGAACATGTATTTTCCCTCCAAAAGGCATGTTCTCGGGTGGTGCGGGGGAGTCACTCTCCCGTGTGCTGAGCTAAGATGTTGACTTGTTATCTCTTATCCTTGGATGCAGCCTGCGGAGAAAGTGTGAGGTCTCCACGTGTGGTTGGTGGGGGCCAGGCCAGGATCGACGCCTGGCCATGGCAGGTTAGCTTACAGCACAAAACCCAGCACCTCTGTGGGGGCAGCATCATTGACCCAAGGTGGATTCTCACAGCAGCACATTGCTTCAAGTGAGTCCCCGAGTGCAATCCGCTGGGAATTGTGGGTGGGGGACTCACATTAACCATGGACACAAGACGAGATGACAAACTATAGATTAAGTAAAAAGAAAAGGAGTACTTGTGGCACCTTAGAGACTAACCAATTTATTTGAGCATGAGCTTTCGTGAGCTACAGCTCACTTCATTAGTCTCTAAGGTGCCACAAGTACTCCTTTTCTTTTTGCGAATACAGACTAACACGGCTGTTCCTCTGAAACCTGTCATATAGATTAAGTGTATAAATACTGGAGGAGTCAGGGCTGCTTTCAGGAGCTGAGGGCTAGAGCTGCTTGGAAATGGCATTTTACATTCCGTGAAATGTTTTAATGAAAATGAAAAAAAAAATCATATTCATTTTTAAAAAGTGAGAATTTGGGAGGGGCGGTTATTGAAAAATTGAATAAACCAAATGCTTTTTGGTTTTCGGTTGTCAAAAAAATGGGGGAAAAAATCAGTTTGGGATTTGTTTGTGAAAGCCCCCAAAATGTCCACAAAACGAGAAATTTTCTTACAAAAACCTTCCAGTAAGTCAAAAAGCCATTTCAGATCAACAAGGTCTGCTGAGTGCAGGTAACCCCAGCTGCAGTCAGTGGGAGAGGGAGGAGCTCAGCAGCTCAGCCAGCAAAGGTGACTGCCTGGCTATATACATGCTATGGGCTGATTTGCCCCGCTCTCTGTGCTGTCATTTACACCACTGCAGAGCAAGTGTAAAGTACGTGTGAAATGCTAGCCAATCTTTAACTCCTGCCACTAACTGGAATTCCCCCTTCTTTAAGCAATTTCTTTTAATATTTCAAAGTTAAACTCTGGTTAGGTGCTTATCTCTTTCAGGGTTCTCTTTGCTTCTTGTTTCAGAGTAACAGCCGCGTTAGTCTGTATTCGCAAAAAGAAAAGGAGTACTTGTGGCACCTTAGAGACTAACCAATTTATTTGAGCATGAGCTTTCGTGAGCTACAGCTCACTTCATCGGATGCATACTGTGGAAACTGCAGAAGACATTATATACACAGAGACCATGAAACAATACCTCCTCCCACCCCACTCTCCTGCTGGTAATAGCTTATCTAAAGTGATCACTCTCCTTACAATGTGTATGATAATCAAGTTGGGCCATTTCCAGCACAAATCCAGGTTTTCTCACCCCCCCCACACACACACAAACTCACTCTCCTGCTGGTAATAGCCCATCCAAAGTGACCACTATCTTTACAATGTGTATGATAATCAAGGTGGGCCATTTCCAGCATAGTTTAACCAGAACGTCGGGGGAGGGGGGGGTGTAGGAAAAAACAAGGGGAAATAGGCTATCTTGCATAATGACTTAGCCACTCCCAGTCTCTATTTAAGCCTAAATTAATAGTATCCAATTTGCAAATGAATTCCAATTCAGCAGTTTCTCGCTGGAGTCTGGATTTGAAGTTTGTTTGTTTTAAGATAGCGACCTTCATGTCTGTGATTGCGTGACCAGAGAGATTGAAGTGTTCTCCGACTGGTTTATGAATGTTATAATTCTTGACATCTGATATGTGTCCATTTATTCTTTTACGTAGAGACTGTCCAATGTACATGGCAGAGGGGCATTGCTGGCACATGATGGCATAGATCACATTGGTGGATGTGCAGGTGAACGAGCCTCTGATAGTGTGGCTGATGTGATTAGGCCCTGTGATGGTGTCCCCTGAATAGATATGTGGGCACAGTTGGCAACGGGCTTTATTGCAAGGATAGGTTCCTGGGTTAGTGGTTCTGTTGTGTGGTATGTGGTTGTTGGTAAGTATTTGCTTCAGGTTGGGGGGCTGTCTGTAGGCAAGGACTGGCCTGTCTCCCAAGATTTGTGAGAGTGTTGGGTCATCCTTCAGGATAGTTGTAGATCCTTAATAATGCGTTGGAGGGGTTTTAGTTGGGGGCTGAAGGTGACGGCTAGTAGCGTTCTGTTATTTTCTTTGTTAGGCCTGTCCTGTAGTAGGTGACTTCTGGGAACTCTTCTGGCTCTATCAATCTGTTTCTTCACTTCCGCAGGTGGGTATTGTAGTTGTAAGAATGCTTGATAGAGATCTTGTAGGTGTTTGTCTCTGTCTGAGGGGTTGGAGCAAATGCGGTTGTATCGCAGAGCTTGGCTATAGATGATGGATTGTGTGGTGTGGTCAGGGTGAAAGCTGGAGGCATGTAGGTAGGAATAGCGGTCAGTAGGTTTCCGGTATAGGGTGGTGTTTATGTGACCATTGTTTATTAGCACTGTAGTGTCCAGGAAGTGGATCTCTTGTGTGGACTGGACCAGGCTGAGGTTGATGGTGGGATGGAAAGAAAATAACAAACAAAGAAAATAACAGAACGCCACTAGCCGTCACCTTCAGCCCCCAACTAAAACCCCTCCAACGCATTATTAAGGATCTACAACCTATCCTGAAGTGTGTGTTGGGGGGTGGGGGGGGTGAGAAAACCTGGATTTGTGCTGGAAATGGCCCACCTTCATTATCATGCACATTGTAGGGAGAGTGGTCAGAGAAAACCTGGATTTGTGCTGGAAATGGCCCACCTTGATTATCATACACATTGTAAAGAGAGTGGTCACTTTGGATGGGCTATTACCAACAGGAGAGTGAGTTGGGGGGGGAGGGGGCGGAGGGTGAGAAAACCTGGATTTGTGCTGGAAATGGCCCAACTTGATTATCATACACATTGTAAGAAGAGTGATCACTTTAGATAAGCTATTACCAGCAGGAGAGTGGGGTGGGAGGAGGTATTGTTTCATGGTCTCTGTGTATATAATGTCTTCTGCAGTTTCCACAGTATGCATCCGATGAAGTGAGCTGTAGCTCACGAAAGCTTATGCTCAAATAAATTGGTTAGTCTCTAAGGTGCCACAAGTACTCCTTTTCTTTTTGCTTCTTGTGCCTTACAAGTCATGTCATGTCTGAAGTGCAACAATAGTTTAGAAAGAAAACATATAAAATTCCTTATAGTTTCTCTAATCTTAGTGGACCTGGTCTGCATATTCTTTGATTATGTCTAATGCCTTTCATTTCACATTCTTCAAGGCTTACGGTAATACATAAGCCATTATTTTGAAGGAACAAGACAGATTATCCGTATAGAGAGTAACAGTGCCTTTGAGCCATAAAGCAAACAAATGTACAGCTTCAGAGTTCAGATTAAAGCTAGTTTGTTTGGATTTCTTGAAGCATCCAGAAGTTTGACCTCTGGAACATTTTGTATTCTGGGTCTCGCAGCAAGTTATTCCTTAAACAGTTTACTTGATTCCCCTCTTCTTCCTCCCCATCCATCCCCAAAGTCTGGCACTTAATCCCCTGTAGCCAGACAGTGAGGTGGGAATTCTAGCCACATGCAGATCATGAAAGGTTCCTGCCTAAACAATCATTTGAAGAGTTTCTTAAGCAGGGGAACTTGCATTCTTGAGGAATGCGGATTTCAACCTCAGTTTATCTGAGACTCTTTAGTCATGTCTCATTGTTTGAGTTGTGCATGTTGCTCTTCCAATTGTCCTTAGTTCCTTTAGGAGGGAGCTAACATTGGGAATAAGTGAAGATTTCTAAAATCCTGGCTGTAGGCAGTGTAGTTGTAGCCATGTGGGTCCCAGGATATTAGAGAGACAAGGTGAGTGATCAAATATCTTTTATTGGACCAACTTCTGTTGGTGAGAGACAAGTTTTGAGCTACACGGAACAATTCTGCATGTTGTGAAGGGTGATTCATTGCATCCTGACTAAGGGGCAGAGAGGGAGCTATAGTTCTTATTACCAATATATATTCAAGGCATATTTGACATCTATACATCTCACATGAGCGCCTATCATTATGGAGAAGTCATGGAAGGAAAAAAGCCAATAACCATTGGCTGTATTTGTGCATAGGAACAACCTGGCCCTTCAGAACTGGCGAGTGAAAGCAGGATCCGAAATCCTCTCCAACTTCAACACTATCCCTGTGGAAAAGATCTTCATCATTGACAGTAATCATATGTTTCCCAAAGATAATGACATTGCCCTGGTAAAACTAACGTCTCCCTTAAGTATTTCAGGTGAGCGAGAGCCTACTCTCTAAAATCACTTTCAGAAACTTCTTTGAAATAAGCCCCCCACATAAATGCCTTGGCATCCATTGCCTATGGATTTGTCTAAATGTGCTATAGGGTCGGATCCTCAGCTTTGGCAAAGTGGGGAGTGCATGATATGGGTCAGGCGCAAGTCAAAGGCTGTGAGGACATGTGAAGGAGATTGATAGGTCCATCCGGGACTGCATGAAACACCAGTGTGCGAATGGTGCTGTTCGTAAATCAACGTGTGTGACGTAGTGGCCTGCAATGGCTGTGCCTGGCTCAGTCCATGAGCGCGCCTGGCTGGACAGACAAATGTATGAGTGTGAATGTGCCTGACTGGCCAGAACTCAACAGAACACGCTCACTTCTGCCTTGGTGCACACTGCTTTTGGCCTGTCAAGCAGCTGTGTAAAACCCACTGTGATAATTCCGGCACGAGTTTAAGATGATCCATCTCTAGTGCCTGGGCAGTCAGGCGAATTTCTCCACAAGCCTAGAATTGAGACCCTCTCTCCTGATTCTATCTGTTCATATTCTCTCCCTTCCAGACACAGTTAAGCCAATCTGTCTGCCTTTTTTTGATGAGGAATTGCCCTCACACGCCCCACTGTGGGTGACAGGCTGGGGCTACACAGAGCAGGATGGTGAGTTCAGTACGTTAGCTCTCTACCACACAGGGCTGAAAACTGCTCTCTTTAACCCTGGCTCTCAGAGAGGCAGGGTGGAAGGGAGGAAGCTCTCATTTGTGTATCATTTATCAAGGTACATTGTCAAAGTCTCTGCAGCAGGCCCAGATCAAACTGATTGACAGCAACACCTGCAATGCTGTCGATGCCTACCAGGGGGACATCTCTGATAGGATGATATGTGCAGGCCTCATGGAAGGTGGTGTCGATACCTGCCAGGTGAGGACCTTTCTCACCTTCGAAAATGTGTTCTTCTCGCTGCATAGGTGGAAGTTCAGGGGTAAATCCTGCATGCTCGTTCCTCCAGCCCCTCTGAAGAGGAGCAGCATGGAGCCCTGAATAACATCCCTCTAATTCCAGGAGCGTTTGGGGCCCTTGCTAGCGTCAGGGACTGGACCACAGGCGCTGGGTGTTGTGGGGGCAGAAGGGAGTCTGGGCCAAGACTTTGAATGAGTCTGATTTTCAGAAAGCATTGAGCACCTGCCCCTGAAAATCAGGCCCCTCCCAGGTGTTTCAAGTTTGCCCCCACAGCTCACTGGTCACTTCTGACGCTCTGGGTCCAGGGCCCTTGGCCATTATGGTAAAGTCACACTACACTACATATGGGCTTGAGCCAGTTATGAACTTTATAACTCGAGCCGAGCTCTGCTTCCTCCATAGCCACTGATATCGGGAGAGGAGCAGGGGATAGGGAACAGCAGGGTTCCCTGTAACACCTGCTTGTGTGTGTCCCTCCCAGGGAGACAGCGGCGGCCCCTTGATGTACAATCCAGGGCACTGGCAGGTGGTGGGGATCGTCAGCTGGGGACATGGCTGTGGCAGACCAAGCACTCCCGGCGTCTACACCAAAGTGCAGGCCTATCTCAACTGGATCTACACCGTCCAGAGGGTCAGCATCCTTGTCTCTGAAACCAGCCACTGATGATGAGTGGATTCCTCCCTGCTGGGCTGGCAAAGGACAGCTTGTGCCACCCCTATTCTGTGAGTGCCAGAGGCCAGTTCAGCTCCTGTGACTTGCCCTACACTGTTATTGCAACAGCACAGAATGGCCAGGCCCCAAACATTCGCCAGCCATGCCCACCAGAATGCTCCCTGCCTCAGGGCCTGGTGGGGTTCACATACCGCACCATGGCTGGGACAGAGGTAGCAATGGTCTATGAAGAATCTGGCTTACACAGCCGCAGAACTACAGTGATGGGAAGTGGCTAGGGCTTCTTGGTGTTTAGTTCCCCAGAAAAAAAATATACATTGCTCCTGGGTGCTGAGCTAATCAAAAATCCAAAGCGTTTGCTGCTCCTAGGCTTCCTCAATACGACGAGTGCCACTAAGCAGGAGATCTGGCTTCAAGCTCTGACCCCTCAGCAGTAGGCTCTGAGACAGGGGTGGGAAAACTACGGCCCGCGGGCCACTTCCAGCCCATCAGACATTTTTATCCGGTCCTCGAGCTCCCGCCGGGGAGCAGGGTCGGGGGCTTCCCTGCTCCGCCCGCCCGGGACTCCCCAGCCCCCGACTCCTGCTTCCCTTCATGAGCACCATCTTCCGGCACACGGAGCGCCACGCTGCGCAGACGCGACTTCACTGCGCTGTTTCTGGGATCAGAAACGCCCCCCCCCCCGCACACACACGCACAGCAGCACACCCAGTCCCCTCCTGGTCTCCTACGGCCCCACCCTCGAGAGCCTCGAAACTGCCCAGGGGCTGCACCTGTCCCAGCTAGGGTGCCTCCGCCCCTGCGGTGCCTGGTACGGCCACCGTGCTGTCATTGCCAGCAGGGCCCCTAGGAGCCCCCTCCTCCCCCCACCTCAGTACATTCCTTATAGAGCCCCCCCAGAGAGTCCCTCTCCCCCACTGCGCATTCATGGCCCCCCATACAATTTCCATACCCAGATGCGGCTCTCAGGCCAGAAAGCTTGGACCCGCCCTCCCCACACACACTCTGAGAGGGGCACGTAGTGCTAGCTGATCGAGAGGGCCATGACATTGCTAGTTGAACACGTGACAGCAGCTCAATGGAGCCGAGGTGCATTTCTGCTCTTCCCGGCAGAGGAGACTTTAGCTAGCCAGGGCAGGTGATGCAGGGGGTAGACAGCCTTCGGGAAGGCTCAATTCTAGACGAGCTTTGTTGCCCGGGCCCTGGAGGCACCTGCCCAGCTGTGGGGAATTGCCCCTACAGCAGCTAGAGGGGCCTGGAGGGAACTGGGGACTGAAGGGGTGAATGGAAGCAGGTGGGCCAGGGGTATTATGGAGCATGTTCCACCCTCATGCCTGGCTGTGCTTTGGTTTCCTTAGGAACTGAATTGACATCTGAGGCTAGAATTTGGTTCAATGTTTATTCCGGCATTTTTGTGGTGCCAGTTTTAATTTCTTGTGTGTCTCACCTTCCAGTCAGAGCTCTGAGGCTCCCGCAGCGGCAGCTTCCCGTCACGGCCCCTGTGTTAAACACCTGGCTGCCCTGGTTCTAAGACCTGCTGGGAAACTCACTTCCAGCCATTGCACCTGGGACCTGCACATCCCTGGGTTCACTTTCTGAAGGCCCAGCACCATGCCATGATTTAGCAGCAGCTCGGGACTCTGGGGGTGGTTAAAGTGGCAGAGGCCCCCATCACATCCAAGGAATTTGCCTGGCTCAGAGCACCTCCCTGGAGATGATGAGGTATTGCTCTCTACAGCCTCCCCAGGCCAGGAAGGTTTGCTTGGATCCAAGCTGCTGTTTGCTCAGCCCAGTTCTACCCCGTCACAAAGTTAGTGAAACAAGCAATGCCTTTCCCCAGTCGACTATTCTCTCTCAGGAAAAGTTTATCCCTTTTAAGAAAAGACCTTTGCAAAAGGATTTAATCCCTATTCTTTGCAGAGATGGGCTAGATCCAAACCTCTGATCCCAACAGAACCAGACTTTGGGGTCCATCCAGCACCACCAGTGGCCCAGGCCCATCTCTAACCTCTTGGGCACAAACCATTCTTTGTGGCCAACAGAATATGGAGGTTCTCTGACTCCTCTTTAAATTTTCACATTCTTAAACTAAACCCCAGTGCTCAGCTGGGGAAAACAGGCAGCAGTGCCACCTGTCAAACTTCTTTATTTGTCTGAAATAAGAGCACACAATTTTGTACCCCACCGTGGATGATTTTCTGTTGGCAGAACAAGTCCTGTTCTGGGCTGTGGATGCAGATGGCTGTTTGCTGTGTTGGGATTGTTACTGGAATGAGCAATTATATTTAGTTCAATATCAGCCTTAGGAGACACCAGGGCTTATGGTGAACCCTGTGTTAACTATAGGTCCACAAACAATCTCATGCCTTGAACATGAGACCAGCATGCGCCAACGAACTGACCACAGACCTGGAAGCCAGGAACTCCTGCCTTCAAAGCTGAGTCTGCCACTTACCTCGTCAGGACAACGGAGATAACCAGAGCGCCTCCGGTGCAACTCCAGGGGGTCCAGCGTAGCGTAAAAGTGGTTGGAGCGAGAGGGGAATCGGCCGCGTGAGCCTGAAATCTGACACAAACCGTTTGGTGACAATGATCCACTGGGCTCTCAGGCCAAGACTCGGCACTTCTTCCGGCCTATGGCTGCTGCAATGGGCCTGTGACGCAGAAACAAAGAGCAAGTCCCTCTCTTTATGTGCGTGAGACATAAATCAACAAGCTGAAAGTGATGCTTCTGAGCAAGGCTGCAAATGGGTGCCAGTGGCTTGGAGACTGAACCCGTGGGAAAGGAGGGAGAGAGGAAAGACACAGGACAAATTGTATTTCAGGAAAGAATTCTAAGCAAGTGGGCTGGGAAGCAAGAGTGCAATGCCAGAGGCAGCATATAGCTGGACCTGCAGCGCTCTCTGCTGTTTCTGCAGCACTGGGTCCTGCTGGAGTGTGACAGAGGCTACAGCAGTTTGAAAGCAAAACCAGCAATCACACAGCGTCTCATTAATTAATGATTGTGCGCCAGTGAGTTTCTCCAGAGCACCCTGCAGTGGGAGCCACATATGTCCTACTCCCAGCTCTGACACAGGCTCCCTCATTGGCCTTGGACAAGTCATGTCGCTGCTCTGTGCCTCAGTTTCCCAGCTGTGAAATGGGGGCAATACCTGCCTCTCTGGGGTGCCAGGAGGGAGAATCAGCTAATGCCTGTGAAGTGCCTGCAGCCCTCGGGGCAGGAGGTGTCATGGAAGTGCTACGTTGTCTCATCATTGCCTACAAGTTACACACCTGAGTCCATTTCAGGAGCCCAAGTTCCTGCAGGTGCTAGGTGAAGCGACTCACCATTGGCTTTAGCAGCTAGGAGCTGGGGCCGGCCACCCTTCCCCTCTGTAAAGCTTGGCACAGATACAGCCCCAGGGATGGGGTCGCAGTGTCTGTCAAGCACTACAGAAGAAAGGCCAGCAGCATGGTCCCCACCAGAGTCACAGTTGGGACAAGTCCTCTCTCAAAAGGAATCATTGGTGTTCATTCCCTGCCCTTCCAGGCTCAAGCACTTCACACAGCCCGTGCCCCCCATGGCAGCACAGGGCCTAGTACCATGGGGCACACCTAGGCCCTACCACAGGTCCCTGGAGCACTGTGGGCCCAGTTCAGCCTTGGCATCATGCTGAAGTCAGAGGCGTTGCCCCAGGCAGGGATCTGGCCTCTTGTACCTGTCTCAGCCTGTACTAGCTATCTGAGCTCTTTTAAGTGCCGCATTTTCCCCAACCTCTAAAAACCACAGGCTTCCAAACCCTAGTAGCCTCAGCCCCCTCTCTGTGCCTTCTGCAGGCCTCCAGCCCACCCGTCAGCTCCTCTAGGCTCAGCGCAAGATCTTCAAGAGCGAAAGCTTTCAGACAGATTTCAGAGTAACAGCCGTGTTAGTCTGTATTCGCAAAAAGAAAAGGGGTACTTGTGGCACCTTAGAGACTAAATGCCGATGAAGTGAGCTGTAGCTCACGAAAGCTCATGCTCAAATAAATTGGTTAGTCTCTAAGGTGCCACAAGTACCCCTTTTCTTTTAGCTTTCAGACAGGCTCCTGAGTCCACAGCCAGGCACCTAAACAGAGAGGGTCCAAATTTCAGAGGGGCTGAGCCCCCAGCAGCTCCCCAAATGAAGCCACTAATTTAGGTGTCTACAGAACGATTTAGGAGCTTACTTTAAATCTCCCATTTCCGAAAATCTGAGGCAGAGGCTCTGTTCCAGGTCCCACTACAGCTGCTGCCCCTTCTCCACACTCCTACTCAGCTGCTGCTGGTAGCTGGTGGGACTGGCTGCCCAAGCAGAGAACATTGCGCGATGAGAACCACAGGAGAAGGTTGTCACTGAGTCGCAGAGAGAGAGTAAATGACTAGCTCTTCAGAAGAAGAGAGATTTGGTGAACAGAGAGACCCAGTTATGAATGTGGCCAGGAAAGGAAAAACAAAAATACCCTTTAAAAGTTCATTTGTTTTTAGGCAAATCCTAGTGGGTTACAGCGCTCTCATTAGCCCTCCGCTAATAACGATGATTCCTCTGAGATGCCAAGATTACTCCCACCTTGCCATTATTCCTGATTCCCAGGGGAAAAGGGATGGGGTGGAGAATAATCATAGAGTTCAGAGTAACAGCCGTGTTAGTCTGTATTCACAAAAAGAAAAGGAGTACTTGTGGCACCTTAGAGACTAACCAATTTATTTGAGCATAAGCTTTCGTGAGCTACAGCTCACTTAGCTCATGAAAGCTTATGCTCAAATAAATTGGTTAATCACAGAGTTGATTCCCTTCCTCTCATGAAGAAAGCTTTATTGTGCAGAAGTAATGAAGAAAATGCCTTGTGATATTCACTAGCAAACTGCATTATTATAGAGGGACACTGTCATCTTGAATTATCGTAAATGACTAATTTGTTTGGGCTTTTTAAATCAACTTTCTGATATATCCCTATTCTAACAAGGAGCAGTCCCATTCACCTTTAACTTGATCATGAGGGTGTCCAGCATTCTAATTAACCTTCTGTTAGAAACACTTTGCCCTTCTACAGCACTTTTCATCTCAGGATCTCAACATACCTTACAACATTAATTCTTACAACACCCCTTTAAAAGATGGCAGCAGCAGATTCCCCGGTTTATAGAGAAGTGAAGAGACTTACCTTTGGTTACACCCTGAGGAAGTAAGAGCCAGGAACAGAACCCAGGAGTCCTGAGTCCAATTCCCCTGCTATGATCACCATTCGGTACCCTGGATGGAATTCCATGTTCTTTTGTGAATGAAAGGAGAGCAAAGCAGCAGTTTTCCATTTATATCAGTCTTGTAAAATCCAAAGTGCCTTTAACCTGCTCTGAATATGCTGTCACACTGCTTCTGGCACAGTTCTGGGCCTGTGCTCAGGGCCACAGCCAGGATCATCCTGCGACCTAATGCACTGAGCCACTCCACAGAGAATATTGCCACTCTAGGCTGCTAGCACGAGCCAGTGGCAGTAGCAGGAACAGAACCCAGGAGCCTGAATGTGCAAGGCGCTGGATAATCCCTTGCCACACTTGCCCCGCCCAGCTATTGGGCACATAGTGACTGAGTGGCACATGCTCAGCGCCTTGTCTCCATGTCCTGTCCTCACTCAAGCATCTAGAGCCAGAGGCTTAGCTTGCGCCAACTTTAACTGCCAGCGTTGCCTTCCAGTGAACTAGTCCTACCGCAGCTGCATGTGACCCAGCAGAAACGGGGACAGCATGCCCAGGATGTCGCATGGCATTGCCACTGCGAGGGCTGCTTGTGGCACCAGTGGTTTCTTGTGGCACCCAGGAGAGGCGACCACTCCACCCCCTCCATTCCCTCGGGTATCATATTGTTCCAAAGTGGCTGCAGTTTTATTCCAGGGCTAACCCTGACCTGGAGGGCGGAAGGAGAGAGAAGTATTTCTAAAGGCAGGATCCCCTCTCAGAGCCTGACGTAAAGCACTTCAAAATCAACAGCATCTCCCAGTCTTCAGTGGGCTTTGGGTCAGGCTCTTAGATCTTCCTGCCACACCTTGACGGCAGGCCCTCAGCTCTGGAACCATTGCCCCTTGATGCATCAGTCAGAGCGTTCACCCAGGCAGCTGACAGGGGGTTTCTCACTTTCACACGGGTGTTTTAAAGGTCGGATGATTCTCAGTTTTCCTATGCAGCGCACATGCCCAAAGAGTGTCCCATGGGTTCAGCCGAGGAAGGCAGACAGAGTGCAGGGTTATCTCTGCTGTTCAGCTCTCCTTACACCCCGCTCTCACTGATGCCAGGGGTATGGCTGAGCACACAGGGAGAGCCGAGCATGGGGGGTAACACACTGCTGAGCTGAGAACAGGATTTGCCCAACGGACGTACCTGATGAAGATTAACATGGTACTCGGCTCATCCAGCTGAATCATTTGGAACAAAAAATCCACCAACACAATGACACTAATAATCCCTACAGCTCCCTGGAAAGGTTCAGTGCTGCATAATGCACTCACCCAGCAAAGTCAGGCCTCACGATTCTGGCCCTGACCAATGGCTCCAGGGCAGGAAGGATTCACGCACACGCACACACACAGAGTGTTTAGCACTGCATGGGTAATTGGGAGATGCTGTCTGGGGTTTTGGCCACTCAGGGCAGGAAGCTATCAATCCTGACAGATCAACAATGCAATAAATCCTGTGCTTGCTACTTCTGCTGCACTCTGCACACCCACAGGCATCCACACGTGCATCCACACCGAGCTTTGCAAAGGTCCCAAATCAACATCAGAAAGAACCCAGACAAGGGAGAGTTTCTCTACTAAACATAAACTTTTATTTCATTCAAGGCAAAGCTAAATAAAACTCTATAGTGCAAAATGTGTTTTAAAGGCAACAGACAGAATGTTCCTCTACATTCTGTGTTTATTTACAACTATATACTATACGTATTTATATACACATATACATGTGTGTGTCTACAATATACACTCATCCTTAACATCCCCTCTGTTTGAAAGGTTCTAGTGGGACACCCCATTTTAAAGAGAGGGAATAGCTCAAGAATTGGTCAAATTTTCAAGACAGTGGAACCTTCTAAGCATGCCCATTGTACAGCATATCTAAATCCATACAGGTACAGGTACAGAAATGTATCTCAAAAATTGATTGTTAAGTTCTCTCTATTCAAGCCAGAGGAATAATCCATGCATAGAACAGCATTGCATATCATGTGGTAAGTGGAACAATATCCAGATACTACTTCTAAAAAAGACTAACAGGTTATGACACCTAAAAATAATACTTAAAAAAATTAATTTCCTCCCCAAACTTTACTTGTCTATGGAAGTTCTTCACAAAGGCTGGACTGGGGATTTCATGGGGCAACTGGAAGATTTTGTGTCTTTTGGTCTAAAACGTCATGAGCGATGATGATATATTAATAATACTTTGCATTTATACAGCACCTTTCGTCCAAGGATCTTAGAGCACTTCACAAACAGCCCCTGAGGCAGGTCAGTGTTATCAGCCGCATTTTATAGATGGGGAAACTGAAGCACAGAGAGATTCAAATGATTTGCCCATGTTTACCCGAAGAGACGCAGCAGAGCTGGGAACAGAATCCAGGAGTCCGAGCTGCCTACTCTAACCAGCGGATAAGACTGTCAAGCACAAAGCCTACCCTTCCAGAGCATGTCACCTTTGCCCTGCCGAAGCTCCATGCCCTGGTGTAAGCGACTAGGCCAGGTGCAGCACAGCCATGAATCACGCTCCTCTTGAAAGGCACAGCCACAGATGCACCAGCACAGGGTGCTTCTTGGGCCTCCTCTGTTCCAACAGCTCCTGCATTTGCAGATTTGAGCACAGTTACAAGCCGGCAAGTGGGACTCTGTGCCCATCACGCTCAGATTCCAATGGCCATCATACTCCTGTCTATAGATGAAGTGGTACCACATCCCCTTCTTCTCCAGTAATCCCCATGCACTGCTTTGGCAAGCCTGTTTGTTAGCTGGGTCAGGCTGGGTCACAAACTAATTCAAGAACACTCCCCTGCAATTAAATGTTCTAACACAGCTCATCCAGAATGGGCTCCCATTCCGTTACAAAGCCAGAAAGCTGTTCTTGCTCCCACCCTCACCCCGCTCTTGAAAAACCAAGACCCAGCTCTGATTCCTGATTCCTACAGGGGAAGGGGCTGGGGAGAAGAGCAGAGTTTAGTTCCTTAGCCTCATTAACAAAGGCAAAGATGTAGCCCACACAAGAAGTTGGCTTGTGACATTCAAACAACAAATCACATGATTTTAAAAGGTCACAGTCAACTAGAATTATTTTAAATGAAGCACTTTTTAAATTTTAAATTCCTTGGAATAGCATGTCTGGGACTGTTTTTAATCCCTTTCAGTTATATGGAGAAGGATTTTCCAGCACCCCATGTACTCAAGGGATTTAAGTCAGAGAACAACCCCACTATCTCACGCCTGTCTCTTCTCCCCCTTCTGTCTCTGTCTCAGGGTTTATATGGCCACCCTATCGCTGCAGTACGCAAGCCCCTCCAATAGCAATGTCCCAAGCAGACTCCATAATGTCTCCGGCATCTCTCTCTGATCACCTGCCTGCTCTCTCTTCGTTTCAATATTGCTGCTGCTGTTACTGAGAGGAGCCTCTTTGCAGGACTGGGGAACAGCGTGCGTGGGAGCTCCCTGTCACCAGGCTGGAGCATGAGACAGGACGACCATCGATCAGCAGTGAATCAGCCAGGCTGACTCTACAGAGCATGGACAAAGTCACCAGACGAACAGAACAGAACTGAAGACAACTGAAAAGGTGTCTCAGTTCTCACCAGTTGAGGGGCCAGCTGTACCAACAGAAGGTGTAAGTGTCCAGAGAGAAATCAGATTTCCACATTGACAGTGAAATACAACATGTATGTTTCCCTGATCGGTTTCTAACCTTCCAAGTAGCTCTCTCCTAATTACACTTTGCCCATCTATAGCACTGGTCATTCGAGGATTTCAAAGCACTTTACAAATGGTAACTAATGAAGCCTCAAGTCATCATCTGTGAGGTAGGTCAGTATCATTATCCCCATTTTACAGATGGGGAAACTGAGGCATGTAGAAGCAAAGCAACTTGCCTGAGGTCACATGAGTCAGCAGCAGAGCCAGGAACAGAACCTGAGTCCTGAATCCAAGTCCTCTAACTATGACTAGACCATACTCCCTCCCTGCATAGCAAATGAAGCTCCACATTCTTTCTTAAGTGAAAGGGAAACCGAATGAGCCGTTTTCCCATTTAAATCCTTTATACAAATGATTTACATAACTAATTAAAGCCTTGGTAGATCAGCTTCTTCCGTGTTTGTTACTGTAAGTGCCGAGCTTTGAAAAAAAAGAGTAAAACCGGAACGGATGTAAAAAATACGGCAGCTGCTCCCCAGAAAACCAGCCAGGTACAGGCCGCACAGCGGGGAGAGCAACTCAATGTACATCAGCCACAGCAGGGCACGGGACAGGGTGAGCCAGTGCAGTCAAGGAATGTATTCCAGGCTGCTCCGCCTGGCGTGAGCGCAGGCAGGCAGTGCAGAGCACAGGCCCTGCTCACAGGCCTACACAGCACCTTTGTTCAGAAGCATTTCACAGTGATTTCTTCTGCATTGGGCAGACGCAGCGACTTTGACAACCTCGTCTTTTGCTGGCTCTGGGGCCCAGCCCGGGAAGATGCTTCGGCATGTGCACGGCGCAGAACAGAAGGAGCCGTGCAGCACTTCCACAGCATGAAAACAGGCAATCCCATCCCCTCCCCACCCCCTGGCCCGGGGGATGGTTCCTTGCTGAGAGCCCTATGAAATCCTGCATGTGAACTTCGCCTCAGTGACGTGCCTCCACCCTGCCCATAAGGCGGAGCAGGGAGATTCGCCCCCTGGTTCTCTCTACAGACTTGAGCAGTTGGTGCGGACTGGGATGCGGACCCCTGTCCATTGGGGACAGAGCTAAAACTCACGTCTCGCAGCCGCCACTGACAACCACCACGGCTCACCGAGTTTAAACGTGCGACCGATAAAGGTAGCTCCATCACCTGCTCCACTCCCCGAGCCGTCACCTTCCCCACTCACTTTGCTGTCTGAAGCTGCGTTCCAGCAGCCCCTCTCCCCGGCCTCTGTCTCTGCTGCCTGAGCAGCCCCTCGCAACTGGGGCAACGGGAGCAGGGGGCCAGAACTTTGGGCCCAGTTCTTCTCCCACATACACCAGATTTAAACTGGGCTTATTCCACTTCCTCCTGTGGCTTTACTCCTGATTTACACCCACATAAATGAGACGGTGCAGCTGAGGTCTGCAACACGAAGGAAATGTAGCGTTCGGTGTGAACCACGCCCCCCCATTTCCCGATCTCCCCTGAAGGAAGCGCCTGATGGGGCAGGCAGGTGTACCTGTGAGAAGGAGGCAGGCCCATTCACCAGCAGTCATGGGCACCAGTTCTCTGCCCTTGCACACCCCATCACGCACTTCCCGGGCATCAGGAGTGACTGCACTCAAACCAGCGTAAAGCAGGCGTAGGGCAGGAAAATCAGGCCAGTCCCCTACAGCAATCATCTCGCAGTCCGGATTTACACATGCTAACACGTCAGTCTGGAGCCACGGCCCCGTCCCCGGCCAGCCTCTGGCCTCTCTCCCCGCGCTGGACATTGTCGCTTTGTGCGGCTCTAAGTCTCTCATGATCATGGCCCTTGAGGCACTGACCCAAAGCCCAATGACATCACGAGAAAGACTCTGACTTCGGGGGGCTTCCTGCATCGCTCTGGGTTGTCCTCACCTAGCACTGGCCTCCTGGGCTCTCCAGTCCCATTGCTGGAGTTCCTTGTTAATACCCAGCCCTCTCGCAGCCAAAGCCCCCAGGCAAACAACGCACCCAGCTCCTCTCCAAGGTCACGGCAGCCACACTGGCTTTTCTTGGGGTGGCCCTGACTCCGCTTGGTTCCGTTCCATGCACTTCCCAGCACATCCCCCCCAACTTCCGCTGGCAGGAAAATCCTCTGCAGGGCTGGTGCTACTTAAACAAATTCCCAAAGGATTCCCCAGTCTGCCTGGATTTGGTACTTAGATACTGTGCTTAGTGCAATCCCCAGCTCCAATCATGCTGCTCCCCATGGCACAAAGCACCCTGACATGGCAGGGGTGTGCAAACCTGTTCTTTACAATCTGGTGCTCCCTACCCCTGTGGGGCTGAACAATGCAAAAAGCCTGCAGCTCTGCTTGGTTATGCAGCACAGCAGGGACAGGCAGGCAGCTCCCAGGCCGATAAGGCGCTCGCTACTAAAACAAAAACATTCCCAGCACTGCGGGTGTCACCAAGCAACATGGCAACTCTTTGGTAAAGCCCGGTGTCCCCTGCAATGAGACAGGGCTGTGTTTGGTGGAGACGTGACCAGCATCACAGGGCAGAGCTCTGGGAGATGGCTAAGCCCCAAAGGGACTGCCAGTGCAGCTGGGACTGGGGTGCATGTTTGGTATGGAATGTCAGACAGCTCGGGGAGAGGACGTGTTTGGTACCTCACTAGCACGTGTGGGAGACAAAACCTCCCAGGGCGGATGTCACAAAGCATGGCACCAATTCTGCACCAGCATACCCAGTGAGGGCATGGGGCTGCAATAGCCAACCAGCATAGGGAAGAAGAAAGGACACCCTAGTAGTTCCGCAGAAAGCTCCAGTGCTCTAGAGGGAGTGGCTGTGCCGGGGGTTGGTACCAGACTAGGAAGGGTGATAATACCCTCACCCCCACCTGTCAATCTGGGACAGCAAGAGGACTCCAAGGGGCACATTCTGCCTTGGCAGCTCCCAGGCATCCCTGGGTCTGGGCACATGTAACAGAAGGCAGAACGTGGGCCTGGCTGTTTGGGAACATTGCTTATGCAGCCTGGTGGGGATCACAGTGCCATGCTCCAGAGCCCGGCTAGGACCCAATGCCCGACGTGGGATCTGGACTCCTTTTCCCCTGAATGCTGCTTGGGGAGCAGGGGAGTCGAGATAAGCACAGTCAGCACTGGACACGTAACCAGCCACTGCCCTCAGCTTGTGGGGGCTGGACCCACTTTGTCAATTTTTCCTCTGCCCCAGGAGGACAGTCAGAAACCTGAAGCTTTTCACCCCAGGTGCCCCCTTCCAGGTGCGCGCCTTCGCCGCGGTGTCTTGGCAGAGTCAGAAAGACCCTCCAGAACGAGGGAACAAGAATCACACGCGAGTGTCCCAGCTGCCCTTCCCGCAGAAGCAGCGCTCCTGCCAGTGGGACAGGGAACACCACAGAGCAAAACCAGGAGCCAGGCGAGCGCCAGGGACAAAGTGCAGGCAGAGGAATGAACCTTCCCCGGACTCCCCCCAGCACTTTACTATTGACCCAGCTTTTCTACGCAGAGCTCACTGGGCAGGTTTGCCAGGCAGCCAGACACAGGACCCCTGCACCTTGTGCTGCCATGAGCAAAGGGGGTCGGACTGGCAGTGCTTTGCACTGCCCTTGCACTAGTGCAAGCAAGGACACAAGGGGCAGGGCAGTGGAGAGCCAGGCCCACAGCAATCCCACAGGGTAGCAGGTGAATGGCTGCCATAGGTAGCGAACGGACATAGCCCCCCGTGACTACGGCGACCCCTGGCCGCAGTGTATTCCACCCTTGGCTCCCACAGCAGCTGGTGACAATACCACAGAGCCGCACAAGCCCAGACTGAGAGTGGGCAGCTCACCTGCTGGAGTGGAATGGAAATGGCAGGGGAGGGAGAGCTCGTCCCAGGAGCAGCAGCAGGGGCCCCTTAATCTCTTTTCCTAACCGGTTCAGACAAATCTTGTTTCTTAACCAGTTAGGAAAAGAGATTAAAGCCAGGCTTGGTAAAGGCGGCACTAGTCATTTGGTTCAGAAGTGTGCTTGGCAGCAGAGCCCTCTTTCTCCTTGAGCCAGCCCCACGCTCAGGCAGGGACAGGAGCATCTCTCTCTACTGCTAGCGTTCCATGCAGCCTTGTGCTCCAGAGGCCTCTGCTCCAGGAACTAGCTGCCCTCTGCCTGGTGCATGGCCTCCTCCCAGTGTAGCATCCCTGGGAGCCAGGCAGGCAATGCCCCCCACCCACCCCGGCTCTCAGCTTCGCAAGACACCATTTCTGCTCAGCGCCCTCACGCCCAGTCTCTGTGTGATGACCCAGCCGCTCTCACACACACACCACATGAAAACACCCACCCACCCCAGCCCATGCTCCAGCTCAGGGAGTTCCCACCTCCTCCCAGAGAGAATGGAGCTGGCCTGCTCCCTTTCCCCTCCTGAGATCACAGCCTGGGCACAAGTCGCTCCCAGGCCACACAGCGTCCCAAGTCTGGGCTGAAGAGTGGTGCAAATTGCAGGCATGTGCATAATACAGAGATGTCTCAAGCATTGTTAGTTTCAAAATAAAATAGATTTCCCCTCCCCCGGCCATTAGCGTTTTACTGCCTGGTGGGTCACACTGAGTTTGCTTCATGCCTTTGGTGGAGCTTTCTGTTCCGCCTTGGAGCCCGCCAGGCCGTTCTCAGTGTTGTCAATCCCTGAGGAGCTCACGAGACACTCCTTCCTAGGAGAGAGAACAGCATCTACAGCACGTGGGTGGCGCCTGAAGCCTCCCTCAGCCTGAATGTGCACCTGGCCCCTTCTGCCCGCATCACTGCCGCTCCCCACCTGTCACAGAGGCCAGGCCCAAGGGATGTATGCACTCCGAGCTGCGGGGAAGCTCACTCCCCACACAGCCATGGTGGGAGAGACGTGCAGGCATGGCTCCAAACACTAGACTGGCACGAGTGCCTGGATCCTTCCTGCTCCCCAAGAGGCACAATCATTCCCACGGGGCAGGCAGGTCAAGTGACACATTGCAGGGCACAGAGGGAGCGGGCAGCAGACTCTAGGAGTTCCTGGCTCACACTTTCAAAGAGCCGGGCCTTCCCCATGCTGGGCACATGGACTCAGGACTACAACCCCAACACAGAGCTAACAGCTTGTTCCACAGTCTCCAAGGGAAGCCGTGCTTCAGGCACTGACAATAGGACTGGGCAGGGCAGGTCACAGGGAACTGTCCTGCCACAGGGCAGCAGCAGGCTTTCGTGCACGCCTGCACCAATTAGACAAATCCTCGTGCCGGCCCCATGACCTGTTAGCTCAGTGTCCCTGTCCCAGTTTTACAGATGGGGAAATGGGGAAGTGAAAAGCCAGCTAGAGGCAGAGCTGGGAACAGAACTCAGAAGAGCCCAGTTTCCAGTCCTGGGCCCAGTTCACTGGGCCATGCTGCCCTCCTGCCCTCTCCTTGCAAACACCCCAGTGATGCAATCCGGTGTCTAGGCTGCGAAGGAGGGTCAGAAAGAGCACAAACATCCATGCATGTGGTACGCATGATGCTGCGCCCAGCACAACCCCAGCCGGACGCAGCGGGGGCTGGGAGAAGGGACGCCCATCCGTACTCACTTCTTCTCCTGAGACTTTTTGAGGATAAGCAGGACAATTTTCTTGATGACAAGGATGAGGATGAGGAGGCCGACGAGCCCGCCCACGGCTCCCAGGATGATGCGCGTCAGCGTGTTGTCCACCGGTACCACTGCAGGAGAGAGCGCCAGAGGAGATGTTAGTGGGTGCCAGCCAGAAGAGTCCGACCAGCACAGTGCCTCTGGCCCTGAGCAGCAGGAGACAGGCACCCATTCCTCGGCCATCACCGGAGCTGCAGGGGCCACGCAGCTGCCTCTGCTCCACAGAACAGTTCAGGTCTTTAAAGTCGAATAGCCATGGGCGTCACCCTCTAGTCTCTGCTGCCCCCCAAGCCTTCTCCGACAACTGCACGGCCCATGGTTCAACTTGACCGTAAGCTACGGAGGGAGTTTACCCCATGAATGCCCTCCATGTGCCGCTGGCTACTGGCCTATAGCAGGGCCCACAGAGGATGGCCCATATCTTTATCTTAGCCATCGTCTCCTGGAGGGACTGTAGGTGTCTCAGGCTGTGGGTGCTCAGTGTGAGGGGTCTCAAGTTGGGCACCCAAAATAGATCAAGGGAGCTAAAAGCCAGAGCCCACTCTGAGAGGTCGGCCTTACTTCTTGGCAGGAGGAGGGGTGTGAAGTGAAAGACCCCCAATTCTGCCAATGCCCCTCGGCCAATCCAGCCATGATCCTCTCCTAAACAGAGGCCTCTCCTGGGGCTCTTTTCTGGGGTGGACAGCCATTCGCTGAAGACTACCTAGAATATACACTGGTCACCAGAGCCAGACTAGAACTCCTGGGAGCAGATTCTACTTTCCTTTACACTGATGGAAGCCCAACAGAACCCAGCAGTCCTGAGTCCAGTCCCCTGCTACGACCACTAGCAGCATATCTTGGTTTAGCTTTGCCCGATCCTGCTCGTCACTCAGGGGAACCTTTGTCTATCAGCACCAGCAGAGTGAGTGGGGTGGGGAGGGCTCCTCCTGGCAGACACTTACTCTCCTGGACCACCTTGAGGATGATGGTGGCATTGTGTTCAGCATTCATTTCCTTTGGGTTCCTGACATGACAGGTGTACTTCCCAGCATCATCGAAGTCCACTGACCCCATGGAGATGGAGATGTTGTTTTCCTTCCCAGTGGTTGTGCCAATTAACCGAACCCGAGGGTCTGCGAATAGCACCGTTGGCTCTGATGCTTTGTTCTTTATATTCCCGTGATAGATCTGCAGGGGGAGGGAATGCAGCAGGACGCTGAGCGAGCAAACAGCACAGCCAGGCCGCAAACTCAGGAAGCCCCAGACTAGGGAAGGCCTGGAGAGCTCTTCCGGCTGAGTTGGACACCACACAGGGGTGGTACAGGCACAGACCTACCAAGGCTGAGGGTTGGGGCCCGTCTACATGACAGTTTGCAACCATGTTGCATCCAGGTCAGGGACAAGCATGCTGTAACAGTGCCATGGCTCAGCAACAGCTGTAGTGTAGATGTGGCTTACAAGTGGACAAGAAATTCTCTTTCCATCCCTCCCTTGCTTTCTGAGGATTTTGTCTCCTCCAGACTAGGGGTAGAATCTAAATGCTTGGCTTTTGCCCAGGGATCCCAAAGCCAGTTATTCCTCTCAGCACATCCCTTCCCCACCCCCGAGATGTCTCCTGCATGTTAGGTATGCACCAGTGAAATGCAACAGTCATCAACAGGGAAACTCAAGGGGCTGAGCAGAGTGGAGGGGGGGGTCTTTTAATGGAGGCAGAGCAGAACCATACTCCATGCATGCTGCCCCTTCCTGACTTTTCAGCACGAGGCCAACTCCACAGCTCCTCGCCTACATCTGGCCAAATGCTGCGGGGGGGCTCATCTCCTTATTAAGCCACGTTCGTATGAAATGACAACTTTGTTTAGTGCCTGTTGGGCCCCAGAACTCTTCCCCTCCCTCATTTCTGCACACGCACACATATACCCACCACCTCCTGCCTCCCACATGAAAGGGAGAAGCAGCTGAATGCTTAGGGCAAAGAATGGGGCAGTCCAGTCAACAGGCCACCATGAAAGCAGCCGGCCTGTCTCACTTGCCATGTGGCTGCACTGGCTGGAATTCACCTTCTGCCCTAGGAATCCATGAGCTGCAGTCAGCGGCAAGCGTGCCTGTCTCAGGAGCGGACACGGCCATGTCAAGGCCAATGCAAAGGAGCTGTGCATTCCAGCAGCGAGTGCTGTGCATACCCGGCCAGAGAGGCAAGCTCCAAGGTCCTCTCCCAGCTGGCCAAGGCTGGGAGGGCTGCAGGGCAGCTGGGCTGACAGGAGAAAGTCATTGCCTCACACTAGCAAGCAGAGGGGCGAAAGGTGATGCTGCTCAGAACCAACGGCCCTTTGGCATCTCATGGTGAGCACGAGAAGGGGCCTGTTTAGCTGGAAAATTCACTGTGTTTTGCTCAAAGTGCTGACCTACTCCTCAGTGAAATGGGACATTTCTGAGCAAAAGGGATGTATTTAACCCAGGGATTTGCCACTTGCTGCTGCCGAAGCTCACAGACATGACTACAGGAAACGAAATGGTGACGTTGCTGCGGCCAAACCGAGTGGAAGTAATTTTCTCCGTTCCACACTGCTCCACCCAGCGGTGTCTCCAATGGGCAGTTATGATGCCAGACAATAAGGTGCAGTGGGCTCTGAGAGGGCAATTGCAAAACCAGATCCCTCATGGCTGGCAGGGTGTCCTAAATCAGGAGAAATGGGATCCAAATCACTGTTTAAAGCACTAGCAGCCGGTCTGTGCTGGGGGGACCCAGGAGAACTGGCAATCAAACCCAGCGAGGAGCAGAACGCACAACGCACCAGGTCAATGCTGTTGTAGTACCAAGTGAAGTCAAGGTCCTTGAATCCTATGCAGGTGGTGAAGATGCAGGGCAGCTGCACTTCTGAGCCGTTCAGAGCCATCACAAGGTTGTTTTTCCCCACTGAGACCTCCAAGGTGACAGCCATGGAGAAGAGATGTAAACCTGCCAGGGGAAAGAGAGAACAAAGACACATCAGTTTCCACAGGGGCAGTGCCCGATACCCGATTCCCCTTCAGAGACAGCATCTCCTGGGGCATGCCCAGAGGCTACACAACCATGCAGCCACCTGGTAACAAGATGAGATTGCTGGTCCATTAACTGGGCTCCCTGGAGGCACCACATGCATGCTTCAGACTAACCTAGCCAGTCCCCCTCTTCCTTCCTAGAGGACACAGAGCAGGACAGAGCCTCAGGAACATGCACTGGGAAAAGGCAACTGCAAGTAGCCTGGCCAGCAGCAGCGTCACCATTCAGCAGGGAAGGGAGCATCTCCCAGCACTGGTCTTTCACTCCCAGGCCCCTGGCGACCACACTCTGGAGCTCTCGGTCCTGCTCAGGAGTCTACAAGCCAAGCACCACCCCCATAATCCAGGCTGGATGGGTCCTGGCATCTGGGCCATGGCCCAGACCAGGGCAGGGCAGCAAGGGGAAGCTGTTCTGGAGGGTGAGGAAGGAGACGTTAGTCGTGAGGCCAACCCCACCCTCTAGCCGGACAGAGGAATTACGGGACCTTTGATAAATGACACCAGGGTGAAGCTGTTTTCACGTTTAACACTGGGGAGCAGCCCAGGGGTTAGGCGCTCCCTGGATGGGTCTGAGCCCACCAGGCCCAGAGGAGCCTAAGGAGAGTGGCAGCACCAGGGAATATTTGCGAGGAGTTCAACTCTCCGGGGCAGGATTTCCCTGTGGAAGAGGGTCTGCCTGGTTAAATCTGCCCCTTCTCACCAACCCCCCCGGCCACCCATCGCTGCTGGGGAACAGGATTGCTGGCCCATCAGGCTCCAGGAGGGACAGGCTCCCCTGGGGTCCTCAGTCAACTCCTCACCCTCAGCGCAGAATTGTCCAGTGCTGCCTGCGCCCCCCAAGTAGGCACAGGGGTTGGGTGGGGCACCTGACCAGAGACACTCCCTCCAGAGGAGCCACCGCCCTCAGCCCCACATTCTCACCCAGGGCAGCTGGGCCCCCCCTTCCTGAGGGAAAGGGTAGGACAGGGCTGCTTCGCAAGGTCTGTAAGAACTCTGTCCAGACAGGCGCAAGCTATCTACAGAAATTCGTGAATGTTTGCTATGGCTGTCACTGGCTTCTTCCAGAAACGTCCCTGAGCCCGAGCCCTCCGAGCAAAGCAAACTGGAGCAAACACAGAACACGTTTTAAAACCAAGGTAAAAAATCCTACATTGTGACACATGCTGAGTGACACCACCCTGCTCTTTGCTAAGTCCCCTGGCAGCAAGCAGTCAAAGGCACCAAAACAGAGGAGGCCTGTGTAGACGTGTGTCCTTTCCGCCCCACCTCCGTTGCTAATGCAGCAGCTTTAGAAGACTTCTCTTTGCTGCTCTGAGATCAAGAAATTTGAGTTGCCCCATGTTGCCAAGATCTAGGGTGGCTGCTTGAGACATCAGCAGTGTTGTACAGACGTGCAGCAGGGCCCAATCCCCACTGCTCTGCCCTGGGGGGACAGTGCTTATTCCCACCCCCGCGGAGCAGGCTTAAAACATTAACAAAGCTGAATTCTCCGCTCGGTCTGGCCGCTGACAGCATTTTAAATCCTCTGCCCACCCGGGCATGAGTGAGACCAACCCCCACACCCTGAGCAGGGCAGCAGGAAACACTAAGGCAGGAGTGGCGAGGGTTTAGCAGCCTTGTACCATTTCTTCTCCACAGGGAGCCACCGGTCCATACCATTGGACTGGCCTGGGGAGGAAAGAGCTGACACGTTCCCATGGAATAACAATGCCCAGCTACAGCACCATCATACAAAACTCTCAAAGCCCTTTGCTAACATTAAATGTCCCAGCACCCTGCAGCTTGGCTGAGTTCCCATGGGGGTTCCACAGAGTCAGTGGTAGAACTGGGAGTAGAACCCAGGCAGGAGCCCTAACTCCTCATTCCCTGGCCCGCTCTAATCACTGAAAACAACCCTCACGTAACCCCATCCTCATTGCACTGGGCTTGCCAGAGCACACTGCACCTGAAACCACCCCACCAGCCATGGGGCACGTCAGGACAGCACCTGTAATCGATTGAAGCAGCCAGCATCCCACTGTGAGGCAGAAACCTGACCTGGAGGCCTAGTGCATGGGCGGCTGGGATTCACCTAAATAGCCACTGGAGGCCTCTGTTGTTTTACAAAAGGGCTGCAGAAGAAGAGCACTTACATCACTAACAACGATCAACCTGGCCCCTGCAGACAGCTCACTGGGGACAAAACCACTTCCCCGGGCTAGATGGGCTCCTCCTCCCCACCCCCTCCCACACAGCACCCACGAGGGAAGAGCTCACAGTCCGCTTGGAGCGGAATCCAGCTTTGCCATCTTAAAAGAACCTTTACACTTCAGCCCTTTCCTAGGCACCTCGGCGTGCTGGGGCGTACGGCCACAACCACCCCTTTGAGGTATAGGAGTTGGACAGTCTGTGAGGGTCCCTGAAGGAGGGCAGAGCTGTTAGCACTTCCCTTGTTGTAATATCGAGGGACCACTCCTTCTCTGCCCCAGAGTCCTGCTTGCTGGTGGCTCTGGCTCACCAGACCGTGCAATGAGCCTCAAAGCTTCAGTCACTGAAGAGCAGAATTAAATTACTCAGCTGCAGACAATTTGCAATGAGATTCCTCCCCCCCACACACCTTTTTTGTTTAAGCCTGGCTGAGTTGCCTGAGGTACAAATGGGTCCGATTTCCTTCCTGAGATCAGAAGAACCAGCACCTGGTCTTAGAACTCAAGATGACTCCAGCTTAAAATGTCTGAGTCTCTGTTCTAACTATGACAACACATGGCCAGTTTTTCCTTCTTAAAATGAGGCTGCCCTTGGGTTATCTGGGCTGGGAGTTTCAAAGACACCTAAGGGAATTAGGCACCTAAATCTCACTGGAATCAAGATCCTTTGAAATCCCAGTCCCTCTCTCTCTAATTTCTCCAGCTCATTTAATATTATCTTGAGAACCAACAGCTCCTGGCCCTACCGGAAGCCCCTCACTGGAGTTTTCCAACAAGCAGTGGGTTTTAAGTACTGTGCTCAAATAAATTGGTTCGTCTCTAAGGTGCCATAAGTACTCCTTTTCTTTTTGCGAATACAGACTAACATGGCTGTTACTCTGAAACCTGAAAATTCAATTAAATTCTTGTTTTTCAGATTCTCTGTTCAAAGAACAACCCCCTAACTGCCCAGCAGATAACAGCACACTCGGCAGGTACAGGAAGCTCTCATCCAGCCATGGGTGGGGCCTGCTGGGGCGGAGAAAACAGCACCAGAAAAAGCTGTCACAGCATGTTTCGGCTCCTAGCCCCTGGGAGTAGCCAGGACTCTTTATAAAACCTCCCGCCAGCTCATATTTGGGTGTTATGCTCCAAGCAGGGCCCCGGATATGCATTTCTTTCCTCTGCTGGGAAGGAAGGTATGACAAATATTTTTAAATCCGTAACTATTAATATTCTCAGCTGCATTAAACACTTACAGTTGTTTCCTCTGGTCCCTGACACATATTTTCCCCATTTAATTTTAGCAGTCAGCTAGTTGTACTCCCCACTAGCAGATCTGCAAAGTGAGAATGATGGAGCCTATGAGAGAAGACACCAAGGAGAGACCATTGCGTGTATATTAGTAATTGATGCAGGGAGGGCAAAGGCCTGGGAGCCAGGGTTCTATTCCTGGAGCGACCTTGGCAAGTCACTTATCCTCAATGCCTCAGATTGTACAGCTGCAAAATGGAGATCATCCTCCCCAGCCCTGAGTGAAGCACTTGGAGATTATGGATGAAAGTGCAAGTGCCAAATATCTATGACTTGGTACAGAGCAGTGGAAATCAAAACAAGCTGTTTGCTGTGGGTTGATCTTTCCTCATGGAAATGTAGAGTTTGCTTTTAAAATGTAAATATTTTTCAAGGAGGAAGAAACAATAACTTCAGTGTTTATGGGACTTTTAGAAATGGTTAAAGCTCCTAAGTTACAGTAACATACAAACAGAGACTCAGAGGGGTCTAGTGTGTAGAAAGATACGCACTGTCATACAGGACCATGTCATGACAACAGTGGGTGGGATAGTGCAAACTGTCCAGAATTAATTAACTCTCTTTTGCCAACTCTCGCTATTTATTTGGGAGCCTTGTTACAGTTGACGTTCTTCCTAAAGCACCAGCTCCTGGAGTCATGTGATTACATGAGACTCTCAGGTTTCCTTTAGAACAAAAGTAAGTTCCAGCCCTCCTGATTGCAGAGAAAAGCCTGAACACGTGGCCTGAGAGCTCCCTAAAGGCTGAGAAACCAGCCAGCAAAGAAAGAGCCCAACGTTTAGTACTTTGTAAACGTCTCCTGATTTGGGGGTCCTGACTCCTGATTTTTGAGCCCTTGGCATTGGCGATGCTGTGAACCACTGCTCCAGCTTGGTGCCCGGCTCCAAGCCCTGACAGCCAGCCTGCGCTCCAGCCTCCAGACACAACTCCCTTGGAGCAGTTACCAACAGCAAGTTCCTTCCCCACCCCTCAACCCAGGGCACCCTCACTGACATGGTGCAAGTCCAGAGTCACCCTGCTGCCTTCACTGGACTCCAGCAGTCTCCTTTGGCCCAGGAGAGCAGATTTTGGCCTTGTGCTGTCTGAGGCTCCAGCTGAGAGCAATGAAGAAACTCCGGCGACTGGCGACAGGACATGGCTGGCACTTAATAAACGGATAATAAACGTCCCGTCACCCCGTAGTTACCGGTTTGGAGAGGCCCCAAGAGCTAAGCCCTGCCTGGCCCCAGGGCACTGAAGCAGCGCAGAAGAGCCCTTGGTCCCCATGTCAATCCCGAAGCGGGTCCGCGCAGAAGACGCGCTCTGTGCCGTGGGGGGCGAGCCCCGAAAAGCGGAGCCCTCCGGCCCGAGGTGTCTCGCCGCTCCGCGGGGCAGCAAAGCGGACGCGCTCCCAGCGGCCCGAGGCAGAGCGCACCGGCTCCGCGCCCGGGTCCCCTCGCCGCACCAGGGCGCCCCGTCCCCGGCCGCTCTGCGGGGCGCGGCAGCCCCCTCCCCTCGCACCCCCTTACCCAGCAGAGCCGCCGCCAGCCAGCTCCGGCAGAGCCGGGCGCTGCTCCCGTCCGCCGCCATCCTCTGTGCCAGGGCACCTCGGGGAGCCCCCGCAGCCGCCGAAGGCAGGGCAGGGTCGGGGCAAGCTGCCGCCGGAGCGCCCGGTCCCGGCGCAAGGGGCAGGGGGACAAGGCTCGAGCCAAAGTCCGGCTGGTCCCCGCAGCAGCCGCAGCATCCAGCCGGGGCTCCGCGCAGCCAAGTCGGAGGGACGCGGCGCCCGCAGCCGGGCAGGACAGGCGGAGGGCGAGGCAGGGCGCGCTGCCAGGGGCCAGCTGAGGATGCTGCGGGGAGCGGGGGGGGCGCTGCAGCCGGAGAGGCGTCGGCCAGGGCCGGGGGGCTCGGCCAGACTAGCCGGGGAGCCGCCTGCCGGGCATCGCGCAGCCCAAACCGGCCCGGCTGCGGGCGGGGCGGGGCAGGGACCGCGCTGCTGCGAGGCGGGGCTGGGTTTGCGGCGCTGCAGCTCTGCGGTGCGCGCTGGGCCAGGGGGACACGTGGCTCCCCGGCTGCAGGCAGGAGCCCCTGACCCGCTCCCGCCTCCTGCGGCCCTCCCAGGGGCGGGCTCGGGCTCGGGCTCAGGAGCCTAGCGGGCTTCACCGGCCCGCACCCCCCCAGCGTCTGTCCGTGGCCCCACCCGGCAGAGCCAGGGCACCCACCTAGCCCCCTTCTCCTGCTGCTCCTGGTTTATCCCTCCTGGGGTGCCAGAAACGGGCCAGCTCCCTGCTGCCTCGCCTCCCCTCCCCTGGCTTCAAAATCCTGCCCCTTCAGCTCAAAGAGACTCTCCCTTACCTAGCAGCAGCATAGAGTATATGACACACAGCTGAGCCACACAACCACCGGACACTGAGTTACACAGTTACTTTGGCTGCAGCTTTGAGGCTTTTGGGGTAGCGACCCCCTGGGACACTCACCGCTCTTTTTTTCTCAGCAATGAAATAATTTGTGTTTCTAGAGCCTCTTTCATCTTAAAATAGTAAAGCAATTAACACCGGGTCATTCTCACACCACTGGAAGGAGCTAAATAGAAGTGTCTGTAGCTGGGTAAAGCGCCCTGCTGTAACCACTAGACTACACTCCCCCTTCTAGGCTTTTGGTGAGGTTCCTTGTGTGCCTTTTTAATTATTGTGTATACTTTTACTTCTAGTCTGGTTTCCTCAGATTCCCCTTCACTGATACTGTGCTTTGTTTCTCTGTCAAGTTAATTAAAACCATAGTGTTGGGGTTTTTTAAAGGCATAGCGACATAATTTTATTGGCAAAGTTGTGATTGCCATGAAAGAGATTCTTGGGTTTTCTCCAGTCACAATGCATCATCAGATAGACTCAAATTGCAATTGACTAGAGCCTTTTATAATCCACTGTGCATTCTCAATGAGTTTATGTTTGCTTACACAAGCCTTGGTGGATGACAGGATCTCTAGCATATAGATCCTGGCAAGAGGTGTATAGGGGTTGTGTAATTGCAAGGAACGTTATCATTCACCTGGAGTGAAGTGCTGTTAATTTGAGTAGAAAATCCACATCTGGAACCAAGAATGGCACCTGCCCATATATGCACCGAGGCCACAATGTTCAAAAGTGGGTGGGGGTGTCTCCGTTTTGGAGGGCCCAGCCTGACACCTCAGCTCTCATTCGGAGAGGTGATGGGCATCAACCGATTTTAACTGGCTACAATCACCCTCCTGAAGAACATAACTACTGAAACAGACTAGCTGGGGAAGTGGTGGCTTCTCAGGCTCCTGCTGTCCTCAAGGGGAGAGTGCTGCCTTTCTGGCAAAGATGCTTTAGTCAAGCAGAAGTTCTCAGGGCAGGGCCTGGTACCTGGATGACATTCGACTAGAGGAGCTGAGACACCCTTCTGGCTGTAAAACCAGCGATAAATGGGCCTGAAGGCTGATGAAGGAACAACTGGTTCATGGAATGAAAACCTCTAGGTAGGGAAGGCTTCAGTCTAGCTACACCAGCTCTTTCTAGCATGCCTGTCCCTGTGGCATCCAGTAACAGAATGCCTGACCCTGCAAGGTGCTGAGCACCTCCGGTGGTGCACTGGTGTCCTCCCTCAGCACCTTGCAGGACAGGACCCCGTAGGGAACAGGAAACCTAGCAAATGGGAGAAGCCATTCACATGTTTTATGCAGCTAGTAGAAAACCATGGGGTCAAAATCCAGCCCAGAATTTAAGCTCCTAATTGGTTATCAGCAGAGCTCCGTAGCCTGAGAGCATTGGAAGCAAGCCAGGAAGTCCCCCATGTCCGTGCAGATGACCATGACAACGGGCTATTGCAGTCCCAGATCTCTCCATACCTGAATGCACATTGGCAGGATGAACAAAGCAAATCTCTCTGGTGTATGACTGGGAGGCATCCATCCAGTGCTCCAGGCAGCAAATATTTCCTTCCAGTCTCTGAAACCACAAATAGCAGCACATGGCTGTAGAGGCCCAGACTGCATGCGGGAGAATAAAGAAGGGGTGTTAGAGAAGCCAAAGAGAAAACTTTGGCACCTACATTCACACCCTGAGCATTTATTTCAGGATAATTGGCTGACCATGCACTCTATACATCAACAACCTCTTCCTAATAGCTGCATCCATTAGCCCTAACCTTCTGTGGACCACATCCAAGCCGGAGCAAGGAGGAACTTTCTTGATGGGGGCCTCTGATAATGCAATTGTGCTATTTTGGTGCATTACCTTTCCTCTCAACTGCATTAGAGAATCACATCTCCTTTTCAGGGCACTGCTTCTTTGGAGCTTAAAACTTCTTGGCTCCTGTGGAAAGCCTTGGTGGGAAGGGAGAGGAGATTTTTGGAAATACCAAGGCCATTGGAGGCGCAGTAACAGAACAGTGATTATTCCTGGGATACAGGATGGAGAGTTCCTAAGCTACATGCTCAGGCTCTAACCCAAATTCACTGGGGAGCTTGGAAAGACCATAGCTCATTAATAGCTCACTGAATATAGAACACCAGGCTGACTCTGTAGTTGTGTGAATTATCCCTTCAGTGGGAGGACTCGGGTACGCATGATTCAGCTGCTGTACTGGGCCCCCAGCCTGGAAGATTTGAGGGGTTGACCCATCCCTGTAGGCTGGGGAGGGGCGACCATTCATATGTTCACTAGCATCTTTGGTTTGTTCTGCTGAGACAGCAGAAGGCAGTTTGGATGGAAGCTGAGGACAGTGAAGGTGGTTAAGTGAGGTGAGTCACAGATGATCCTCTAAAACCTCCAGGACAGGCAGAGAACGTGCATCAGGGAATGGTTTGTGAAGTAAGGAGGAGCTGTATACTGGCCAGAGATGCATTAATTAGGATCTCAGAAAATTCTGCGTCACAGCTCTGCACAAACGGAGGGAGGGAGGGAGGGAAGAGACTTGCAATAGCACAATTGCTGTTTGATGCAGTTTGTTGAACAGTGAACACAGTCAGCGGCTCTGCTGGGCCTCATCTGAGAAAACAGAGCAGGAGCAATAAATAAGGCTGAAGCTGATTCTCGGGGCCCAAGTGAGCAGGATTTTAGAGATTCGACATGCTAACATGGTTAAACTCTCACCAAGGCCACACTGTTCACCTGAAGAGTGGAGTAGGATTGCACCACCCTGGAGGTGGGGGCAGATACTGGGAGACATTCTGCAAGGAGCAGGCACCATGATTCTGCACATCACCAGGCTGTACTTACTTAACTATTCTTGGAAATTAATTTGCACAGGAAGAGAAAAGGTGGGGAGAGGAGGTTGCTACATGGTCCAGCCCAAGTGCAGTGGAAGGCAGGGGACACCAGCGCAGGTGTGCTCTATACGCAGCCATGTGATCTGTTGCTGAGGGTTAAAATAGACACTGAATGAGCCTGAGAACATGTGGCAGGAGACCAGCTGTTCAGGAGAGGGAAGACATAGAAAAGGAGCATGGGGGAAGAGAGGCAGAAATGTCACCCCAAGGGGATGGGGGTATGACAGCCTTGTGGGAGGGGCTGCACTGAGGTCTGAATGTGGGTGTTTGGTATCTAGCAGCTTTCTGAAGTGAGAAAAGGATCCTGTCCAGAGGCCAGTGTATGGAGTCCGAAGGGACAGCAGCTGTGGCAAGTGCTTGGGCATGGCAGAAACGGTTTGTGTGGACTAGGATATCCCCTGAACAGAACCTTTTCTAGAATTCAGAAATGTTTGATCTCCTCTTGTGTTTCCATTATTTGTGCTTCCAGCAGGAAAAAGGAAGTGCCAGAATCCAGCACTGCCAACCTGGTGGTCAAAAACCATGAGACTGGCATTAAAACCACAAGATTTAAACACAAATAACTTTGGTCTTTTTCCTCTTGTTTCAGAGCCTGTGGGGGTTGCATTTTCCAGCATTTCTCTGCAGCCAGGAGAGCTGGGAACTCCCCTTTTCACGACAGCTGAAATTCTCTTGCAATTACAGGCCTCCAGGAACTCAGGCTTTAAGTAAAACATCAACTGTCACAAGACTCCTGATCCAATCCTGACAGTTGGCAACTCGGTCAAATCTCCCCAAAGACATCCAGGCCAGTGCAGCAGGCCCCAGAGGTTCAGAGAACTCCTCTTCCTCCTGGAATGGCCTCATCATCCACAGACGCCGGCTCCCACTTCTCCTCCCACCCCTCTGTTCTGTGGCATTCTGCCCTGTACTTCCTGCCATTGCACCTGGCCCACACGGGTGTAGCACCACTACCCATTCAGATTCCTGCCCCCACTCACACCAGGTGCCCACTTTGCACAGGTGCAGATGAGAACATAAGCCAGTGGCCAGTTTTGCTGACCTTCCCAAACAGCCAGGGTCCCCGTCCAGGTTCTGAGAGCATTCCAAAAGGACTGTCCCACCACATGCGGAGTTGTACCATTGTCTCCAGAAGAGCATGAGCTGTTCACACCCCATTTGCCTATGCTGTTGGGGGTAGAGCAGGGGGTGCCACACAGCAGCAGGTATCTCCTTGCTTTGGTCCCATTTGTGTAACCTGGGTCCCCTTCCAGCCTTGCAAAAGTGACCCAAGGGGTGTTGAGACCTGGAAGAATCTCGCCTGCTGCCTAGCCAGGTCCCTTTTCTGCAGAGTCTAGCACAAATAGTTGTGTCTGATTACAGGAAAAGCCAAGTAGCCCTAGACTGGATGGTGTCACCTTCTCAGCATGGCAAGGAGAGAGAGCTCAAGGGCTCCTTCCAGCTGGCATGTGCAAACACTTAGTGTCAGGGAAACCTGCCCAGGGGGAAGAGGGATACTTATATTTCGAGGGCTTTAGAGTTATTCTGAGAGAAGGATGGAGACTGAGCCAACAGCCTCCGAACAGACATAGCCTTGACGCACAAACAAGCCATCTGCCCCTTCTCTTCCTCCCTCACGTGTGTTATGTAGCCCCTGCACATCCACTCCCCATTTGCCCCAGGCCTCTTCTCTCCCATTAATTT